ACACACACGCACACAGCCACACACGCACACACACGCGCACACACACGCACACAGCCACACACACACACGCACACACACAGCCACACACACACGCGCACAGCCACACACACGCGCACACACACGCGCACACACACACAGCCACACACACACACACACAGCCACACACACACGCGCACAGCCATACACACGCGCACACACACGCGCACACACACACACACAGCCACACACACGCGCACTGCAGAACTGCGACGCTGCGCACGAGGGAGAGCTAATTCTTGTAAATTTGTTTTTTTGGCACCCATGCAACATGATTCATGTTGTCAAAACTTTCCAAAACATTTAACAAATCCGAATTGGATTTTGAAATAAACACTTATACGTGGCGACGCACACACGGGAGCGCACAGCACACCCCAGCTCCCACCGGTTCACTCCCCCAAAACAGCTTCTGGATCGCCTCTGAAATTTTCCAGTGAAATGAGCCGACTAAAAGGACCACGGCAGTCAGTTTGGGCACGACGCAGGAACGCGTTCGAGTTAAATGGCGAACCCCAAATCAATCCCAGCGTGATGGAGGCTGCTCTGACACCATTTTTAGCCAGGTCATCTCCCTCGAAGCATACGTAAAGCGTCGCAGCGCGCTGCCGCCGCGCTCACCGAGCGAAATCAATAACCCCGCGAGATTCTCACCTTTTACATCTTCACGGCGCCAAATGAAAAACCGCTCCCGTTCTCACGGCAGCCACCAGGAGGAACGCTGCTGAGCGTCGGCGAAAATAAGACGGTGGCCTTTTGCTGCTGTTGTTGCTGTTGTTGTTGCTGCTGTTGTTGTTGTTGCTGCTGTTGTTGTTGTTGTGGTGTACGCGCGAAGGCTGCGGCGTTGACACGGGCTGCGGTGAATCGTCGCCTTGCAGCCCGCGGGGCCCGGGTATCGACCGATGGATGTGCAGAGTCCGCACACCCCGAGTGTCCGCGTGGCAACCTCGAGTCACCGCGGAGAGACTGCGGTCCGGTCATTGCCGGAGTTTCGTCAAAATGACGCTGCCCCCGCTCGCCCCACCCCTGCTCGAAGGGAAGATGATATTGAGTAGATGACGTTTCAGACAATGACCCTTTTCCGTGAAAAAGACTCAAATTCAAGAGACATGGGCAATGTGAAACAAACAATGTGACACGAGCACTACACCGGTTAATGATGGCCTCTGTGGCCGTCTTGGCGTACGATCGTTCGGCAAACTCCGTGGGCTCGGCCAGGAGGTGTCACGGCCAAGGGTCGCCCGATCCTCAGCAGACACGACGACGACGACGGCTTGATGGCTACAACCTCGCGGCGCGAGAGAGAGAAACTCGCATCTGGCCACCCCCCGTGGCGTGGTCGGCTGTTCTCTCGCGTTCCTGTGTCCACCCAAGCAGTGCCGCGTGTGAAGTTCCTGCAGGAGCACCTCCCCAGTCAACATGAAACGTTGGACCAACGCTCGCAACCGCACACGAACGTTGGCGCGTTGTATGTTTACTGGGTCGTAAGGCGCGACCGGTGTCCAGTTTCCACGTCATCGCTACCCCGGAGAAACCCGGGTTGTTGCGACCAGGTTGTTCTTCCAGATACATTATATAAATAATAATAAAAAATCTGAGTTTATTTTGGAAGTAATCATTTTGTAATCATTGAAGGGTGTCCGTTACTCAATAGCAGCAAACAGTGTGACGATTCCTGTGGCATTTCATTTTGTAACTGGCGTTATCATAAACCATTTGTAAAAATGTAATTCTCATCAGGCCCCATTGTGTCACCGGGTGAAGTCTCCAACTCTATCGACGACTTCTCGTCTGGACTTCTGCGTGCCACGAAGACGGCCCATTGGCCGAAACGTCGTCTGTTATGTTTCTGTTAAGGCCACGCAGTGTCATTGACGAAAGCGTTGCGCTCCTTTTGTTAATTTGAGCCAGGTCCGTGTGGTTCAGCGAACCGGAACACATCCCCGTACCCGGCACACCACATCCAGTATGCACCTCCCGTCTCTATGGCTGCGGTGGCTGCTGCTCGTGGCAATGCCACCCCCACTCCCGTCCGCGGCCACCTGGAACACGCCCCGTGGGAGACGAGCGGGGGAGTGCCACGGGATGTGACGATGGCCGTGCCCTGACTAACGCAGCTCACCTCGCTGGCTCGCTCGAGTTAAAGCGCCGACGAATTGGAGTCGGCCAATCCACCTACCGCCACGGGCGGGGCGGGCGGCCTGGTGACGGAGGCAGCATTTGGACTCCACTTCCACGAGTAATTGTCTCCTACTGGAACATTTGCTTGACATTTCGAAACCGCTTATTTCGGAGCAGCAAATGACGGGCATTTCAATCACGAGAGATGCAGTGAAGCAAATTACGCGGCGAGCGTGTCAGTGGACGCCGCGCTAGCGGGGGGGGCCGTGTCCCCTCTCCACACACTCCCCCCCCCCCTGCCACGCCACAGTCTCAGCCCTTGGTAATTTCATATTTCAATTCGTCGCTCCGCAGACTGACAAGTGACTGACAAAGCAGCGTGCGACGGCCAGAGGCGATGGGGGGGGGGGGGAGGCTGCAGCTGTGCGCTTCGAGGCCAGGGATCGCCACGTGCCTTCTGCGCTATCCCCACGTCCGTTGTTACATTCTATAGAATAGAAATCTCCGAAGATGCAAGCGTGGAATAAACAGAACGGGCATAAGCAGGACTCTCGGACCGGACGAGGCGAATTCATTTAAAGACCCAGTTGTGATCTCAGGCAGGGACAGAGAAAGCAGCGGATCAGCTTCATGTTTTAGTTTTACGTTTTGGTTCATTTGTTGCGCGTTTCCACCATCCGAGAAGGCACCGCCCCAGACGAAACGTCAAAATAACTCGTTTCACTTTAAGTAAATTACATAGCGATGCTGGTGCACAAGCACAACAAATCCCAACGCGTTCCGTGTCAATGACGCTGTGGCCTTCAAGGAAAATGTGACGTTTCGGGCAATGGCCCTTCTTGACTGCACATAATTCATTATATATTTGTTTTTGTTAAGGCGGAGTTAGTTATTTCACACGTCATGGCTCGTGTGAGTAGGCTGCGATACGAATCGAGCGACCCACGTTCGATTCCCACTCAAGTCGATACACGGTAGTTGTGACCCAGTCTGAAAATAATAAAACATTATCGTGCCAATCAATGATGGGGGGGGGGGGGGGGGGGCGAGCCCTTGACGATGCCATCACCACTCACTCGCCCGCAGCACCCAATTGTATGTTACACTTCTTTCGCACCGTACGTAGCCAACCGTGCTAATCAGAGGTGACGTGTCCGACCTAAGCAGACGAATCGGACGAAGGCGCTCTTTCATAGCGCATCTTCAGAGAACAGCCGTTGACAGACATTTTCGCCCATGTTATGTTTTCCTTTGCAGGCAATGTTACCGAGCCGAGTTTAATTTTGTTTGGTGCTAGCGCATCACTGCCAACGAAGCATTATCACCAAATAATTTACTCTTCCCAAGTCGGTTCTGACGTCCAATTCGCGTTTGTTCTCATCCGTGCGCTCCTCTCGCTGCCATTCCGAGCACGTATCTCTGCGCACTCTTCAGCCCGTGTTGCGTTCTCTCTGCAAGCGACCACGTTTTCAATACAATGTAGCAGCAAGTTCACATTCCATTCTTGCGCACGATGGCACGACGCTCAGGCACTAAGTGCCAATGTCGAGGTCTGCAAGCGCACACCCACACACAAAGAGCTCCTCCTCTGGAGGACGCAGACGACAGCGCTTTACTGTACGGTCATTAGTTTGGGTTGCAATGCCAAAATCGCACTGTGGCTTGTCGTTAATGTTACATGCATGGAGATTCTGGCGATAGCGCCACCTGCTACGTGCCGCCAGGTTACATTAGACACAATACCGCCACCTGGGAGGGAGGGACGCGGTTAATTCGTAGCAAGTAACACGGACGGACTGACAACTTTTATCTGGAGGCACGCTCGTCCGTTTGCTTTTCTTGATCAAATTTTGCTGCACAAACGTGCTAAACAAAATTGCCGTTCAAAAAATTTCACCGAACAAAAGAAAAATTTGTTGGAAACTGGAATACACAAAAAAGGAAATCTAGCACAATGATTTAGGCAGGCTTCATGAAAGAGGCAAGGAAGGAGCGGGGCAGAGTGTTTTAGGCAAGTGTAATTTTACTGAAATTCACAGGAAAATATTCTAATTTGCAAGAACAGACACTTTACAAATTCACCTTTCCCAGATTTAATTGCATGTATATATTTTCAGACTACAAAAAAATATTTACTCATGTACAGAAAACAAGAGGGTTGAAGCCAGACGTGCGTACAGCCGACGAGGGTGCGGGTAAGATGGATGTCACGGACGGCGTGCCAACACCAAGCAGGAACGAGCGACGCAGACGTCGGAACGGGGAGACGATGCACCAACGTTGGAACACAACAACCGGTCACAACACGCATCCTTCCCTATCACCACGATCCCCAGATGACTTTTATGCGTTTTAAAGATCACAGCCAACTTGCCCTTTCAACATCAATTGTGATGTTACATTCAAATAAAACAACGTGACGACAAGTGTTGTTCACTTCGTTTATAGCTTTATCAGTAAATGCAAGAAAAAAAAGGAATCATTATCCGTCTGGTGCACGTAGATTTCGTACAATAAAAGTCCCTCCCCTGTGTGTGTGTGTTGAGACGTTCTGCGCAGGGGGACAGAGGGGCTCTGCCGGCGGTGCCTCACGACGACTGCCACTGAGCAACCAACCACCCACGCGAAGACACGCCGTGCCGCGTGGGAGGTTTGATGGCTACTAAAATATTCTGTGCCGATTAATAACCCCGATCCATTAAAACAAGCCAGACTTACCATCAAGGATCACAAGTAGCCACCGCTACTTGTGATCCTTGTGGGTCTCGCGGAATACCGTCGCGCGGTTGTAAAGCTTGCGCGATGCCAATCAGTTCAATTGTCATAAAATCGAACTGTGTCTGATTATCGATTTCGTGACCACCGGACCGACTGACAACCCCGATGACAATGCGACAGACTTGGAGCAACGGACCCCACTACTTGTGATCCTTGTTGGTCTTGCGGTAAATCATCTCGCGGAAGCCGGCGAGAATGCGGTTCTCTCTCTTGGAGCGTTCTTCCTTGTTGAAGGAGGCGAGCGCTCGTTTCTCGTCCGCGCTGTAGATCTGGTTCTCCTTACGCAGACGCACGGCCTCCATGCGGCGATGCCTTTGGTGCAAAAACAACACAAAGACGGTTCACGCACGCGAGCCTCTAAGCGTTGTTGCGAAAGTAATTAATGATCACAATTTGTATTTGCGCCCTTCTTATAGTACAAAGGCTATCATGAAGGCACTATAATAATCAAATACTTTGTGGATTTGAATGTCACCTTTACGCAGTGGCCATGCCAATCCTCTCTGCATTGTTCCAATTTGAGTAAACGTACTGCCGCAGTAAGCACTGTCTGTACTGTTGGTGGAGGGAGGGCACAGCAAGCTTCTGGATTGGGCAGCGTTTTTAGCATTTCTTCTCTCAAGCTTTTGCCACGCACTACCGCATACTGCGGGCAGTGTAACTCGATTGGGAGGAAGTGCAGGGAGGGGCAGGGCAGTTGGCCCACAACCAGTTCAAACAAATCAATCGCCAACGTTGTTAGCCGTGGACAGTAACGAAACTCGACCTGGTCACCACTCCCCTGGCGTGTACACGCCCTGGTCACCACTCCCCTGGCGTGTACACGCCCTGGTCACCACTCCCCTGGCGTGTACACGCCCTGGTGCCACTCCCCTGGCGTGTACACGCCCTGGTGCCACTCGCCCCACCGGGCGGGTGGCACGCGGCCGGGCGCGACGGAGCACCAACCTGCTGCCACTCATGACGTATCCCTGCGACTCGAAGGAGGCGATCTCGTCGCTCGTCAGCCCGATCTCTCCTCTGCGCGGAATCCTCTTGCCGGCCTTCACAAACTCCGCCATGGCCGCACCTTCTCCTGGGAGCAGCGCGTGGCCGTAGCTGTGACGGTGGGGGAGAAGGCAGGGAGCAGTACGACGTTAGACAAAGGTTTTACATTTATGTGCATTGTGTTGAATCTGTATAGAATATTGAATGTTTGATTACAAATAAGTTTACAGCATCAAACAGTGCCATCTATTGGCAAATATGGTTCTCGTCATCCACTTTAAATCAAGTGGATACAAGACCAGAGACACCTGGAACAAACCTAAACTCGCGGAGAACTTTATTTTCACGCTTGGGACACAATGCAAGAATGTTTGCCGTCCGATGCCAACACACAATCAGAAACGCCTTCTATTGTAAAGTTCTGATAGCACCATTAAGTCAAGTGGGTAATGCAATTACAGTGACAAAAAACTTACTTCATGGGTCTGTCCCCTCCATCCATTGCAGACAAAGGAGGCAGTGGTCCAATGAAGAATTCTGCATTCTCAGAGCCTGTAACGCAAATCAAATCATGAGCGCATCTGGTCTCCGTGCCGCTCCCACAGTGCCAGGCTATCACGAAGGTGCTGTTTCACAGGCTAACTCGGTCTGCTGTACTTTCACAGGTCATGATGTCACTGTGATTTTACCCAAAAAATATGCAAGTTATGTTCAAGTTTGGCAACATTTTTTACCGTGAAGCTGGGACACATGGCCTACTCTTTTTTAAAGTAACATCACGGAATTTGTAACATCCACTGTGAAGCAGAAGATGCGTATGCAGGTTGTTACACCCGCAGGATTAACCAGAGCGGCCGACAGGACTTGAACCACGAACCTCTGCAACAGCATGTCACCGCCACCAACTCAGGTTATTGGGTTCATAGTGCAGTGCGCCAACTCCTGCGCCATGGCTCAACCCAACACCGCTCTACCCTCCACGTATAAAGCATTATTTTGTATTTCTATACACAACTTTCACCACAACATAAAACTAAAATAATTGAATCAATTAATTGAACTGCAGTGGGAGTGAATTGCAACACGCCTACAGCAGGTGACAGATCTAAATGGATTACCCACATAAACTAAATTCAGACGAGTCAGATGAGTGTTAACAATGCATGGCGAGTGTTTTGATTTGTTGTGCTAGTGCACAACAACTGCCACTTGATCACTTACGCTGCTTCTCCACCCACACTTCATTGTGCTCATCCTCCGAGGCAGATTCCGACTCCGACTCATCCGAGGAGTCACTGGAAGACACAACCTTTGACCTCTTCTTCTTTGACTTTTTCCTGAAAAATGAGCATGGGACGCTTGACAACGATTTGCTTCAAGATATCACGCATCTTCCTCTACAATTGTATTCAAACTTGTGCTATCAGCATCGTCGTGAGACCAGGCGTCCATTCGGAATGCTTTCAGAGCAATGGACCGTGGAAGAAGAAATCACAAAACTCGCTTTGAGATCACTATAAATGTCTTTTTGTTTATCCACACGATCGTGGGAATACTGCCGAGTCATGCTCTGCAAATGACAGTCAAACGGAGATTTTACATTTTCACATTTGGAATTTAACCAAATTGAACAAAATTAAATAACAATCGCTAAACGTATTTCTTTACACAACTCCCTACCCATTCATGTCCCAAATACTCAAGCAGCAGAGTACTCAACGACCTCTCAGGGAGAGGGAAAGTCCTTGCAGCAAACACCATGTGTTGTAACCCGAGCTTCTTTTAACCAAATTGCCATGGGTTTCATCCCAGGCTTCACATCACGCGCCTTACCGCCGTCCACCAGCGACTCGCGATAAATATTCAGTGAGAAATGAACACCCGAGTGCACACGTGTGAGTACATCCCAACGATGAGATACACGAAACCCAGATTGCTGGAGGTGGTGTCCCCCTGTATCAAGCCTGTGGATGTCAGCAGTCAGGGCAGTAGGGAACGCAATCTCCTGGAACTATGAATGATTCTTGCGCTATTTTAAGAAGCATATTTTCTTACTTGTGACTTTTCTTTTTCTTTTTCTCTTCGGTCTCTGGAAATAAAGGACAATAATTAAAGTTTGTTGATGCACAATAACAAGGATCTATAATGCACTTGATCACTGCTTTGCTAATGATATAAATCATAATAAACCAGTTACTTGACTTGCTCATTAAGTCGACTCTAAGCGGATGATTTTGTTAATTATAATTAACAAAATCATCAGCACTGAACTAGTGGCGAGGGTTGGATTGTTTTTAACCAAATGGTGTTCAAAGACAGAGGAAACAGTTTATCTAACATTCAACCCACGATGGTCAGTGTGCGAGTCGAGTTAATACTACCCGATGTAACAAGAACAACTATCCCCCGTAGAAGCTTAACAGACTGTTGGGGCAAGCACTGTGAGCAAGCACCTATTAAGACCAGAACGGTGCACAAGTTGACAGTGTGGCAATTACCATGCCCAGCCGCCTTTGTCTCCCAAGAGTTATCGTTTACACATCACTCCAAGTACTCCTTTGGGGCTGAGTCAGCCTAGGGGAGGCCCGGGACCAGTTCAAATACATAATTCACCACAGATGATAGCCGTGGTCTGGAATCAAACCCGGCTTACCGGGTTCTTAATGCAGTTCCGCTAACCACTATGCCACCGCTCCTCATGACACACACACACATATATAGCCACACGTACACTACGTACATACAACAGTGGTGGGAGACAGATGGGAATGGCCAGGATCCAAGCCGACAGTGCCCCCCCCGCCCCGCTGTCGCTATCTTTTGTGTTTCAGCTGCGTGGCACTTTGCCGTTGTGAGACGCATCAGCCCCTCCAGCCCATACTGATTAGAAACAATCCAATACATTTTAGATTTATAACGCATCCAAATACAAAATACAACTGCACCTGATGGCCCTGGCACAGTTGGCATGTAATGAATCATTCAACTATCTGTTTTTAGGGTGTGTGTGTTGGACCCACAGCCAGGGTCAAAAGGGATTTCCTGCTCAAATGATCATTGAGGCAGTGCTAAACTCCTATTTGCAGCACTTTGCAAGTGTTTGAAATTCCACATTCCTATGGTGGGGGCAAGGATGATCTCCATAGAACGCTGGAGAGGTGCTCGGCTGAGTAAACCACCAATCAGGATTTGAACTCGGAACATTTCAACTGCGAGTCGCGCGCTCTGTGTGCACACCTGTGCATGCTGAACTTCTCTCGCACCGTACGTAGCCAACCATGCTAACTGGAGGTGCGGGGGAAGGACAACAAACTAAACACAAAAAGCAATTGTAGAGAAATGAGTTTTCAATCGACCGCTGAGCCAACGGGCCGGGTGCAACCTAGGTAGGCGCGCACAATGCGAGAGCTGTGCGCGTATGCGTTGGGCGTTGTCTGGTTTTAAACAGAGAGCCGGGCACTGTGTAATTAGCGTGGACAAACCTTCGTGTGCAGATCCGTCGCTCTCACTCTCATCCTCGCTGCCCGCCTCCTCCTTCCTGTGCTTCTTGCTCTTCTTGGACTTCTTCTTCTTCCTCTTGCGCTTCCTCTTCCTCTTCTTCTTCTCATCTACGTGGGGGACGCATCGCGTTGTTGCTCGTCGCGATCGGTAAGCGCGTCTCGGTGGAAGCACCGATCGGAACAAAGCGAAACGACGGGCACAGGCGTAGCAACAAAAAACGTCTTTCTCCCTGGTCGGTAAAGTGTGTGGCGAGGTCACTTCCCACTCAGGGGAACTTCCCACAAAGCCAAGCAGCATTTGGACGCAAGGCCACAACCTTGCACATATAGTGCCAAAACTACACGCACTTTACATGCTAACATACAATGTGGTTGATGGAAAAAGACAACAAAATATGGTATAAATGACAATGTCAATACGAACGAGATGTGACATTCATTATTTTTTTTACTCTAGAATGAAACTGCAAGCCTGAATCATGACAACTCATTGAGTAATTAGTTTCCTCCTTTAAGATGCACACCGGTGTGACGATCAACCGCATCACAACATCAACAGGCCGATTTGTGCATCTCCTTCACAAATGTTTAATTAAAGACACAAGCCACAGGAGTGTGACTGTGGCCATTCAACGCTGTAGTCTGGGCTCCCTCAATGGCTAGTAGACCTCATAGGCAATATTAGTAATAATATTATTATTGCCCATTATTGCCATTGGCCATAGGCAATAATTGAATAAGATGCACACTAGGAGATAGTAATGGTGCAGTAACAGTTGTTGTTACCTTCTGAGCTGCTTTTCAATGGTTCCACTTCCACAGGGGAATTTTCATCAGAACTGAAAAAAAACCCCACAAAATCCATATCGATCGTCATCAACTGCATACCAAGTCCACACTCGAGTGAAAAAACCACAGCACTAACATTTCAACAGCTGAGGTCACAATATAATGCCTATTTCCCAAGTGTGTCTCTGCTCAAATGGGCAATCCTAACCAGCGACGGATTTGCTGTGAGCAACCATGAGCGCCTATGGCAGCTTTATACAACACTCTGGACATCAGAACCACCCGGTCATCTCCTGGGGACACGCAGATGTTTGATATGCTTTACTAGTCTGGACATGATTGTTCTCAATATTCTACAAAGTAAGAAATCTTAAGCACACCTTGTTGATTAGCCAACATGTTGTGTTGTATTTAAGAATCACCTATGGATTGGGTCTCCATCAGAAATAAAACAAATAAAAAAATAAAAATCTAAATTTCCATATTATCATTTCCGTATTCCATCTGTGTGGAGATTGACAGTTATCCCCCTTGCAAGCGTGACCTCTCTCTGGACACTCACATTTCCTACCACGTGTATAAAACATTAATTAAAGGAGTTGGCCAAAGATGTCAATATCGGACCCCAGAGCTTGGACAAGTGTTGGCGCTAGTTCTGGCTGCCTTCCTGCTCGTCTGTGATTCCCGTGTCTCTGAATCATTCTCTGGTCGTGAATGAATACTGCGTGCGCTATATATTTCACATCATTAAATGTGTAAACAATGTTTTCACAGTAGCCTCCTTATTATATCCGTCTCTAATTTTAACGAAATTTATCACATCTTTAATTCTCCTTCGTTCCAATTAACGGTGTCCTAAATACGCGTATGCATAAATATATTAAGGAAATAAACCTTTGAATCCTGGTAGCGAGTCAGGTAAGTGGCCATGGAGATGGCTCAGAGCAGGAATGAGAAGAGAATGAGAATGGAGAAAGAGGACTGGGCAGACAGACCCTATATAAGGAATATGACTGACTGTGAGGTAGATGTGGAGATGACCAAGGAGAGGTGTGGAGGAACATTTACAGAAAAGTAGACATCACAAGTGCGGAAAAGAATCTGGAGGAAGAAGAATGAACAGCACTTAGTGAATATGAAAATTGGTAATGGTAACATTGGGTGCACAGTCGTATGCCAATTTGTGTTGGCAGCAACTGTGACATGGCTCACTATCAGAGACCACACACTCCTGTATTGGCACCTACTCGGGAGCGGGGTGCTTTGGAGATAAGGCCCAGAGCTCATCGCACCCCCTCTCAGCAATTCTCTTGCGCTGACGAAGCCTCCTGTGAAAATAAACACGATGACGCAAATTGAGCAAAATGCGCTTACTGATTTTCAAACAACAAAAAAGAAGAGGATCAAACCTATACAATAACCGTACATTTGGCAAAATGTACATCATATTGTGTCAGGAAAAAAAATATTGTGGCAGCAGTGTGAGAGGTGTATGGTATGTGATGTCATCATGCCCTAGACAGAAAAGGCAAATATATTTAGTGTTGCCCTTCATCAAGTTCTCAACATGGTCTGATTTGTACAAGGCGAGTAACCTAATAGCAAGAAAACTTTATAAAAAACAATAATAATTGCTGTGGATAATCTCTACGAGAGTCACGAACTTATCCCAGAAGTCCTCGGCTTCTTTGCGCAGCCGCTCCTCGCGCTCCCACGCGCGATTGTCGTGGTGACGGTGGACGGCAGTTCCGTCGCGCTCCCGAGAGCGGGAACGAGAGCGGGAGCGCGAGTGAGAGCGTGAGCGGAAGAGCCAGCGCTCACGGTTGCGGTGGCTCTCCGACTGGAAGTCATCGTCGTCGTCGTGAATCCTCGACGCCTGTGAAGCGAGTCGGGTGACAAGTCAGAGGTACAGCCCCGACCTCCAAAGCTCCCGCTAGCAGAGGCCCTTCTGTCAGCAGTGTCAATACAAAGCAAATGCATAAAGCGAAAGCATCTATGCATTTAACCTTACGCTGAAAAGCATTACAAATGTACAGCTCTTTGTTTATGTATCAAAGCACTATGCATGCTCAATTCTACTTCGCTATCAAGGTATGATGAAATCTGGCACGTTCCGGGTGATTTGGTTGCTTGCGAATAGTTACAATTATACTTCACAAACCTTACCTGTGATCTGGACTTGTGGTCATCACCGCCGTAGTCTCCCTTGGAATATTTATCTCCATTACGCATGTCCCCGCCATTCAAGTCGCCATCTTTGAATGCTCCCGCACCTGGTTTGAGTTCGTTTAAAAGTTCCTGAACCTCACGTTCTAATCTTTCATCCTCAGCAATCTGCTCTTTGGAGCGAGGCTCCCGTTTATCCGAGGAGGAAGGTTGCTCCTCGAATGCGGACTGCTCACCTCGTCGACGGTGGGTCTCCTCATCCTGATCCTCATGGTCTCGCCGATCTGACTCACGTTTATCACTCTGCCCTGAGAGCTCCACTACGGACTTCAGACTTTGAGACACAGATTCATCAGCCCGCTGCTCTGGCTTCTGATCTGAAGACGCCGCTTCATCATCACCCTGTTGTTCTGCCGTCTGATCTTGGGACGCAGCTCCATCAGATCTGTGGTCTGACTTCTGATCTCGAGAGACAGCTTCATCAGATCGGTGCTCTGACTTCTGATCAGAAGACGCCGCTTCATCAGATCGGTGCTCTGACTTCCGATCTCGAGGCACTTCTTCGTCCACCCGTTGCTCCGATCCGTGGGTTGGTGATGGATTTTCCGCAGAGCCACCAACTGATTGCTCCTCCTCCTTCGCGTCCATCGGAAGGGGAATTATCCTCGCAGTGCTGACACACATCAACGCACCCACGTTGGCAAATGTGCATAGTAGACTCGCACAAAAAAACTCAGCACATTTACCAATAACACTGCTGTAAAATAACAATATAAATAATATACACTTCGGGCAATGGTCCTTGTTATCAGAATAATTTCTGATCTCAATGAGATCATACCGTATATTTTATATTAAGGCAGTGTTGAAGAATGCGTTGTTTTTTGTAATTACAGTAATACCTCGATATGCGAATATATGATATGCATCTCGGATTAGCGCTGTTGGCTGCATACAGTGCGAAAGAAGTTCAACGTACATATGAAGTTTCAGTGACTTTGGATTTATTAACATTATTTTTAATGGTAATAGAAAAGCACTGAAAACACGAACTAGATAATACATTTCATAATCAACGATTTTTGGGTTTAGATCGCGTTTATTTATAAATGTGTCGTAACCCTCCACCACCCGACACGGCCAATCAGTAAAAATGTGTCACGTTGACAAAGACAAATAGTTCACTGCTTTAGCCCACCGGTGTGTTGAAGCAACAACATTTACAATTTGAGTACGACGTTTCGCTGGTAATTGCAACCAGCATCATCGGGCAATTCGCCAGAATGGTGAGGCTCTCCTGTGTCTCCCGTTCTTATATAGAGCAGCAGCAGGGTGACGTCATCATTAACTCGTTAACTCATCAGGTGCAAAGATTCAAGGGGGGAGTGATTGTAATTATATACTAGATTAGTAATCAGGCTATTGTTACGATGCGAGTTGTAGATTAGTAATCATTTGGAATGTGTTTTTATTGTGATTATGCTACATTAGTAATCAGTTAGTGGTTGTTTCCCTTATAAGTAATTGTAATGTATCTTATTTAATAATACGCTTCCAGGCCGCACTAAGCCTGTAGCTGTCTGAGCGATTAAAGTTATTTCTGTTTCTCTCAATTTCAATCGATTCTCTAATTAGTCTTTGCCAGTAGTAACGATCTGCAGTACAACATAAATAAGAATGCAATTAAGTATCTTAAATGTTTATTTTATTCGTAAGTTTTTAATGTTAATACTGTACAGTATAGACTATATTATTTTCAATATGAATTTTGTTTACAATGTGAACGGTAAGCTATTACGTGTTAATAGTATGCCATAGCAAGTTACGAAGGCTCAGAACGCATTCTCAAAGTACTGATATAAGTTATCAATATACTAAGTTTCAATATACGAAGACGCTCCAGCACCGTATCTACTTCATATATCGAGGTATTATCCCGTAAGCACCACTGCCAACGCAGTATCAAACTTGTAGTTGTATTAGCAGCGTTTACACATCAGTTCTCTCATTACTGTTGAGTTGTTACTTTTGCGGTTTATATTCCGTGCGAAAGAATTATCCTACAATATTGCGACAGTGCTTAGACTCTGCGTTATTTAAAGTCCTTTACAGGATTATAAATACTGTACATGAGTCTAATGTCCCCGTGGCTTTATTCTGAAAATCAGATTGAATGTGATACTGATGTTCTAACACAGGCGTGTGTTCGGAGGTTAAACACGTGTATTGGAATTAGCGGGAGGTATGTACAGTATTGGCTTTGATTTGTCGTTGTATCCGTAATTGTATCGAGTATTTTAGTGAGGTGTCCCACACAGACTATTGGCACGGTTGGCTATGTACGGTGCGAAAGAAGTTCAACATACACATGCATCTACTAATGGATAACCCTGCGTTTCGTCATTTTGTAATGCAGTGCTAATGAGGGCCTCCCATGCCGTGTTAGTCATGGGGGTTGTTTGACCATACTTCACCACGCTGGTCATTGCGTGTTGGTCAGTGTGGTGGGGGCAAGGCCGGTTCAGATATCAATCGCCACTGATGTTAGCCGTGGCTCCAACTCGGATCGCTGGGTTCGTAGCGCAGCGCCCCAAGCACTGCGCCACCGCTCCCCCCCGCACATTTTAGTGTGCACACACGCACACTCCTGCACGACAGATATTATTGCTCATCTAAAACACGTACCATCATACACGTAATCACTATAACGCTCACGCCAATTAATAATTGATTACTAAACGCATTTTGCTTCAACTTCCACACGAAGCCTAGAGAGTAGGCCCAGGATGTGCTCAGGGTGGTGCGCGACACCGCTCGTGACAACGCACAGGAAACGCGCTTGCCGTGTGTGCGCGCATCACGACGTCGCAAACTAACCGAGGAGCTTATTGCGAGCCGAGCGGAGGGTCCAGAACGTTCGCGGTGCGTGGAAGAAGACGAGTCGAGGCGCGGGCTGCGAACGCGGCCGACTCAACGCTGCCTCCACTCGCCCCGCGACTCGAGCTGAGCTCAGGGACCGCGGCGATTTCACCGTCACCCCGTCTCTGATTGGCCAGCGTCACCCCGTCTCTGATTGGCCAGGGGTCGGCAACCAAAATAACAATGAGAGGCATTTTTTTCTCGAATTCGTTCAAGCCCTCGATATGTCACGAGTGGCAGTGCACTTCGTGGTGAACGTGAGGCGATGGTCCTTGATAAAGAACGTCACGGAGCACTCCGTAAAGAGCCGCGTGCGGCTGCTGCGCCTCAGGTTCCCGACCCCTGCAGGCGTTGCACCTGCTCGTCAAATAGAGGCCCGTGACACCGCGTGTCCGCCAAGGTGCCCCTTTAAAGAGGACACGTGGTGGTGGTGGTGACACGTGCTCATCCAGACGCATTCTCGACAAGGCTGACGACTTACGATAAAACAAACCAATAAAAGGTTGAAACTGGCGTTGAGTTTGCTTGCTGAAACAAAAAAAAATTGAAATAAATATTTTTACTAAAGTGAAACATTTTCCAGTTGTGATTTTCACACCTGATGATGATTGCTTGTGTTGCAATCGAAACGTCGTGATTTAATTTAGATACTTCAATTTAGTTATTTCTTATTTTGATTTCCACCTACGTGACTTTACCGAAAGAACAAAAGAGTATGGATCCTTGCAGTCACGAAAACTTCAAATCGAGAATGGGAATCAGCTTGGAGGAAGAGGAAATGTTCTAATCTGCTGAACGCAGCATGGAAATCTCAAGATAACATATCACGCATCGTAATTTATATTTGAGTCAGATCGTGCAAGTAAAATGTGTCGTACACCCTCCTCCACCCGATGAAGCCATTTGATGAAGTTATCAAGTGAACAAACGTACACGTGTAGTTGCCTCAGTGTAGGAGAGATATCCACATTTGGCAATTGGATACAATCCAATAGATGAATATAAACATCGTTTTATATGGAGCAGGGGCCGGCCACCAAAATAACAATTGGAGCCATTTTTTTAGACTTCGGTAAACAAAAACTCACTGGGAGGAGGCTGCGCTTTAAAACCGTGCGAACAAATGCACATTCAAGCACAAAACACATTCGCAGAGTACACAAAAGGTGCAAGGGCCAACATGTTTATATTAAATTGTTGCAAAATATTTATTACAAATGTTTTTCGTTTTGTGTTAACAACATACTTTAAAACTCCGGACTCATTATAAAAGGTGACATATAGAACATGTGTGACTATGGACAATGTGATATCATGCAAGCTAAAAATGCTTAAAAGGTTAAACTTTAAATTTACCTTAAAGCATCTCTCATATGACATAGTAAGTTAAATTTTTATTTTACACTTTTGTCTGAAGTTAAATTTAACAGCGATCTAGGAATATTCCACAAATAACACTAAACACGTAAAATTATGTTTGATTACAAAGACTTCTTTACTCAAGGGAAAACACTGAAAATTAACATGCTATGATAGCGTATGTGTATCTTACAATTCTACCGAGCACGTTTCACTGAATAGATGATGGGCATGTAAAGTCGTGGCTATTTTTTTATCCAGTATAAGCAATTTAGTTAAGTTTACCATATTTTTTTACCATATAGATTATGGATGAAAGTTAAATGGAAACATTTGCAGAGATTGAAGTGTCCACAGCTTTTCTGATTTGCTACGAAGGGTTTCACACCTCTGATTAGCACGGTTGGCTACGTACGTTGCGAAAGAAATTCAACATAGGTACATAATGTACCATCTACGACTTTCAGCATGGTCATTCGCCACTATGGTAGAGGGAAATTATGGAGGGGGAAGACCTAAATACGGGTGAAAGGCGTGAGTGGTGAGGGGGCATTGGAGATAAGGGCGAGGGTCTTAGGCAGCCATACAGCAGCGCACACGCGGCAGGGTCAGAGGGCCATTGTCAACAAGCCATGGACCTATTGGCCTCCACAGGCTGGAAAGAGATGATGTGGCTTTGAGTGGCAGGTGCTCCCCAGATGGTGATCGAGATATGAGATTGAGTTGATTCCGAGTGAAGTGTACGTTCCCGCGGGATCATCCTGGGTCGCGTCATGCACGCAACAGTGGAACAGCGTGGCCGAGGGCCTCACGTACAGCCTGCAGATAGTGCTGCGTGAATTCCTCTTGTTGATAAATGCTCTTATCCATGGCCCGACCCTCCTTCCTTTACCACAGTTCCGTTTTAAACTTGTCGATGATTATCAAATATACAAGCAAATTCGAATAAAATGTAAAAAAAACGAATAAGTCGGGAGTCCACATTTACCAGAACGTCTACATCAATGTACAAGTTATGCAAATTTAGCTTAAGCTTCTTCTTCTTCTTGGGTAGCACTTGGAAGCAAATCTCTCTTACAGTCCAGGCATCACATATGCAATGTTGTCCAGGGTATTGGCCTTTGAACACACACACACACACACGAAGTCAAAAACATATATTAAATGTAAAGTTGTACTATTGTAGCATGTGCTATAGAGCTGGGCTGTCCGAAAATTCTCAAAATATTATTTCAATCATTCAGCGAATCGGATATCAACACAATATTTGGGAAACAAAAGATTAATCTCCGTTCCCACGTGTGCCGCAGGACTGGAGGTGCACACCCAAAAGCTGGACGCTGGGACACTTGAAGAGCAGACCTTCAGGGTCAGGTGGTGATTTAACGATAACTAAAGAATTTCGCTTGAAACTACATCAAGCATCTTCAGGACAAGAGACCCAAGGAATGCACAATATAGTCCAGCAAGTCAGGACGTGCTGAGCCATCAATGCTGCCACTCACCAACACAAGCCTGGAGCAGCCGTTGATCTCGTCCACCTGAGCGGTGAGGCAGGCGAGGGGGCCCAGTGCGCACAGCAGCGAGTCCAGCATCACAGACAGGCCGCCCGACACGGCCACCATGCCCTGCAACCGAGCCGAGCGAACAACGTTAGCGGGCCGAACAAATGCATTTGTGGCTCCTCTCGGGTCGGCTCGTGGAAGGTATAATTGTCAATTAGGGATATGTACCATCCAGCACCTGACAGAGGCAAACAAATCATGTCGGCACGTGGGAAAAATGTACCAATCGATTGTTTTTTAGCCAATCACTGACGGCTCTAGCCAAGGGGAATGCTGCAGCGCGAGCACCTCGGTTTCTTGTAGGCGGTGTCCAATGAGACTGAGAGACTCCCCCAGCAGCTGCAGGTGAGCGGCCACGTCCACGGCCTCCATGTCTAGCGCCCGCGGCTTGGGGGAGCCCGACATCCCCTTCTTGTGCGAGCCCCCCGACGCTGCGGGAGCGCACGGACGGCAGGTGTCATCATCGCCGTCGTCATCATCCTCAACAGCATCATCGTTATCAGCGGCAGCATCATCAGCAGCAGCAGGATCATTATCACGAGCAGCACCAGGTGGAACATCATCATCGCATTCGTCATGAAACTCAAGTAGTCTTGCCCCGGCACAGTGTCTCACGCTTCTGTCCTCTGGCGAGCAGCAGTGGTCTTAGTAGCCATCGTGACGCTTGATGATGTTCGTCCACTCGGTGAATACCGAGCGTAAATAACAACTACTGCATTTACAGAATGAACAATAAAAACGCAGGTTTTTTTCCTTCTGTAGCCAGTACTATGACCAACATTTGTTTTGGGGTTAGGCCGTGTTGCAGTCGGTATGTCAGAATGAACCCTGCAGCTGGTCAACACCTTTAGGTCGGGGCAGGTCTGGCTCCAAGAGGTCGCCGCCCTTCCTCCGCACCGTCGTGGCCTCGGCCTTGTTCTGCTTGTGCTGCAAGTACTGCTGCTTCTGTTTCCAGACCTAGTCAGACCAGAGCACACGCCAGCGAACATCAGCAACAATAAACACAAACAAAATGGTGCCCCCCTAGCCAGAGCAGATTTGGGGCAAGTGCTGTTAGCGGGCGCCTATAGAGGCCGGCATGGCACACAAAGGGGGTGGGGGGGTGGCCAGCACCACTTCTGGCTGCCTTTATATCCCCAGTGATGTTTACACGTTAAAACCAGGAACTCATTTAAAGCAGAGTCGACCTAGGGGAGGCCCAGGACTGGTTTAGATATTCGTTCCTGGTGTCTTTAAGAGGTTTCATCGATGAACTGTATGTAAATAAAAAAATTAATGAAGTAAGTATGCAATCTTGATTTGAAGCTTTCGTGACTGCAGGAATCCATACTCTTTGGTTCTTTCGGTAAAGTCACGTAGGTAGAATATAAAATAAAATTTAATTTAAAATTAATGAAGAACCAAAGTCTAGAACCAAAGAGTAAGTAAGTATGCAGTATATATAAATTTGGCTTTTTTCCCCGACAACACAATGCAACACGATATGGATTTAGTGACCACATCTGAAAGAGGCAGCGAGCCAGGGGCAGAGGAGAAGAGGTAGACCTTCAGCCTGGATTTGAGGAGTGGCAGGGAGCCGACAGCACGGGTGGCTGGGGGAAGGGAGTTCCAGACGGTGGGGGCAGCAGGGCAGAATGAGCGAGCTGGCTCAGCTGACTCGCTCCTTACCAGCTTCTCCTTCTCCGGTAGACGCTTCCACACATCGCCCAATTTTTTACTTATTTCTCCAAAATCTGCAACGAATAAAGTATACGCGCCATTTGCAAAATGCTTTATCATCGACAATAACACAATTCCAGTCTCCCCTAGATTGTACACATGTAACTTTCATAAACAGTAGAAATGGTTGTTACTATTAATGGTTTAGTTTTAGATAGTGGGGTCGTTCATGCAGATTTTAACTCTCACAACTGCCGAGATACAGACAAGCTGAACGGCAGCAGCCAGGTGGTGAGCCGGCACTACCAACAATTGTCCAAGCTCTGCAGTCCTCTATACATGAGGATGTATATATTAATCTGTATTTATAGAGCGCCTTTCACATCACGAGGTTTAAGGCTCTTTGCACAAGTGAAGTTGAAACGTTGACAACAAATGTAGAAAAATAATAAAATGCATTTAGAAAAGAAACGCAAATGAAATTATAAAACAATCCTAAGATGCCAGAATGATCTAGATTTGAAGTTTTCGTGACTGCAGGAATCCATACTCTTTGGTTATTTCGGTAAAGTCACGTAGGTAGAAAATAAATTAAATCACGGGCACTTATGTCGCGCCCGAAACGTCGTGATTTAATTTATTTTTTACCTACGTGACTTTACCGAAAGAACCAAAGAGTATGCCAGAATGAATTACGAATTGAACGCTTCTGAGGACAAGCGAGTGTTGGAAAGTGTTACAGAGAAATGTTGAAGACTCACCCATGCCGGGGCTCTCCGCGATGATGACGTGTCGATACTCCTTACTCCACAGGTGATACGCAGTGACAGCTTTCTTCTTCTGACCACATGGCACAAACATTTGCAGTGTGAGACTCGGGCTTTATTATTTCAGGTGGTGAGGCCCCATCGAGCCAAGCAGCTCTATTATGAGGATGAGTACAGCCCAAGACCGTCGGCAGTAGCCTCAGTCACATGACATCGTAGGGTAAAGGGAATGTGCACACTATAAAAAGCAAAGAAAACATTGTCCACGAAACCTATGCCAAAACCCAACCCTGCAATTACTTTCCCATTTAACATGTAGGCTGGCGGAAGAGCCTCTAATAGGAGGAGTTTTAAAGAGCAACCTCCAGAGGGGATTTTGGCCTACTCTGCCACGCTGGCCATAAGTCTTGGCCCACACATGACAACCTGCGAATAACCCATTTATACTGCTGCTGGGTGGACAGAAGTGGTGTCGTGGGATTGAAGAAAGCTTGGGAGTCAGGGCTACGTTAGTAGGTTTTTAGCACAGTTTTGGTGGTGCATACGTATATATACACACACATTAACACACATACACAAGACGTATGACCAAATCACATGGAATGCACCATTCTCCTGCCAGATCTCAGAAGCTAAGCAGAGTTGAGGCTGGAAAGTGCTTAAATGGGCGATCTTTGTTTACCACAGGTGTTACAGGCTGAGGGAGCTACATAATGGGCATAAGAAGGCAGTGCACCAAATTTAATTATTGTACTGTACTCCTACGCTCCCACGTTTATGCTTCCCGCGTTAACCAACCCACACAGACTAGCGTGCTTTAGTATGGCCAAATTACCCCCATGACACACACAATGTGGGGGAGGCCTTGATCCAGCAGTGGATTAACAAACGGGCCAAATGTATACATGTATATATGCACAGCAAACATATCATCTAAGTAGTGAATCGCAGAGCCCGAATTGTAACTTCCCACATTCGTAATTAACACTGCCGCCTTGTGACAGGAGAATATACAATGGCGCTGACATCGCATGCAATGGCCCTTATAGGCTATTATAAAAAGGCACTAATGATGAACGGGGTATACTTTATTTATTATTTCTGCTTGTAAAAGTACCGCCACCCTAACTTTTTCAATACGAATCTTCGAGTCGTTCATTAATTTATTCTCGGCAGACAAAACCCACCGAGGACAAACCACCACGGTGGCGCCGTGAGCACACGTTTCCACTTCATATTTCAATCCGGCGGCAAATTAAAAAATACACGCGCACACCACAGGCTCCATTAGTGACCTCTGCGGCACAAAGGCTGGTGCATAAAAAGCTTAGCGATTTTTTCTCACCTTTAAAAAAAAAAGCAATTTTCTGGGATATAATAAAATAATCATGCCGTGGTCGATGCGCGCACGCACGCGCACACAGACAAAAACGCTAAAAATACCCCGGCACCTTTTCAGGCTTTTCATCCTTCTCCTTGTCCGCCTCCCTTTTCTTCCTCTTGTCGGCCTTGCCGTCACTGTGGAGGATGGGAGGGGGCGGCTGCGGGATCGCATAGGGGCTGCCGATGCCCGGCACTCCGCTCATTTTGCCGCCAAACACCCCGACTCCTTCTGCTCCTCCCCCGTCGCCCAGCATCCCGCGGAGCGGCAGGGACGCCGCGGCCGCCGGCGACACCATTGCCACAACCGCCGCCGCCGCCCCCTGGCACTCGGGAAGCACCCCCGCGGCGTGCTTCCTGTGCTTCTTGTGCTTCTTCTGCTTGCCCTTGTCCTTCTTCTTCTTGCTCTTCTTCACCTTCTTCTTCTTGCGCACCTCGGGGCGGTAGTAGGTGCTCAGGAAGTCGCCCGTGATGAGGCCCTCCTCCTCCGACGTGCCCGTCACTTCGCCCGCCTCCAGGCCCGACAGCTCGAAGTCCGACAGGCTCTCGGCAGGCCCGTCCACCCCGAGGCCGACCACCGCCACCGCCGCCGACGCCGCCACTCCCCCTCCGCCCACGCCGACGACGCTGGCGCCCAGCATGCCAGGGTCGCCAACGCCGTCAGAGTCATCCGAGTCCGAGTCGCCGCTCTCGCTCATGTGGACCCTGGGGAGAAAAACTTTTATTTGTAAAACGTTTTTTCTCCCAAAATGTTATCTCGATTGTGCCTATGACCAATTGCCCAGAATTCACCTGATTCATCAACCAGGCTTAAAACAGCGTTGAGCCTGGCTACTTGGATGATGGGAGACTGCCTGGGAATACCAGGGTTCTAGGCTCGTGCTGCGAGTTGGACAGGAGATGGCAGGAGAGCAATGGATTCTTAATTCCATAAACCGAGTGATGAGGTGATCAGGTGGCTCAAAGGGCAGAGCATCGAGCCAGCACCACTGAGATCCTGGAGCATGGGCTGCGAGTTTAATCGGCACGTGGCAGCAGAGTAACGGACTCTCTGGTCTACATTGCCGGGCGAGCCGACGCACGCGGTGACACGTGACGGTGATGTGCCCGCTCACCTGCTGTCCGAGTACACCGAAGTCTCTGAGCTTTCGCTGACGCGCGCCAGTATGGCCGCGCTGCCCTTGCGCATCCTCACATAGTCTTCCTCCCCGATCTCGCCAGGCTCGAACCGGCTGGGAGGACGCCGCATCGTCGCCTTCTTGGCCGGCACCATCATCCCGTACGAGACCATGGAGCCCTCCTCCTCCGTGGAGGACTTGTCCTTGGGGGAGAGGATGAGCTTGAGCTTCAGCCCGTCTCCATCGCGAGACGAGATGCCTTCCGAAGACTACAAAGACAAAGATCCCCCCCCTATAGCCTCGACAGACCGTTAGCGAGCACCTATAAGTACTGTTAGAGAGCACTTATGAAGTCCGGTACGGCACACTGATGGGGAGGGTGGCCAGCATCACGACCATCCGCCCTTGTCTCCCCAATGGTGATGATTATGCATCAAATCAGGTACTCATTTGAGGCTGAGTCGATCTAGGGAAGGCCCACAACCGATTCAGATAATTGTCACTGGTGTTTGCCGTGAGCGGGAATCGAATTCTGGTCACCAAGTTCGTAATGCAGCGTGCTAACCACGACACTACCGTTCTTTACTCCGAAGATTGAAAACACGCACACACAGAACATGCAGGGTCACTCTAATCTAACGTAGTTCAGATTCTTTCAGAAGGCTAAGAAAGTGCATACATGCAATAACTAACGTTCAGTGCGAGCCACTCCACATCATAGCCAACACAATCCAGGCACATCATGTCAAGTAGGCGTGCGAAAATTTGGGTTATTAATGGGCATCGATTTATGATGGAGAAAAGGCTCCAAGATGCTCGGGGAAGAGGAAGACCGGATGTGAATGGAAGTCAAACTTCAAATACTGGACAGAATGCAAACCGCCTCAATTTAAAGACACAGCGACAGACAGATGTGTGTAGAGACACGACTGCGGTGGAGGAAATGGCCGAGAAGAAGAGGATTACCCGATGCCTCTTTTTCGAGGTCTTCCATGCCTCTGCAAAGGTCTCCTCTTCTTCCCGCAGGAAATCTTTGTAGGATCGTTTCTTTTCTCGTTGGCTTCGACCAGAAGTCCGCCCCAACTCCTCCACACCGCTCTCCCCAGCGCTCGAGTCTGTAAGATGGGAAACATGGTGCAACGTGTTATAATCGTAAACGCAATTAGAACAAGCACATATCACACGGATTGGACGCGTTGTCTGATCGAGAACTCAGAGGAATGTCCTTTACAATGTAAGTCATAATCAGGCGTCGGTTAATCAGCCGTGGGTTAATCAGCCGTGTTGGATGAAGGCCTCCGCAAGCCACCGCCACCACCTCTCACGATCCCCCTATGATGACCTGCAAGGTGGTTATCACTCCATCTCCTCGATAGACTCTTTCTGATACATTCCATTCCTTGGCGGCCACTGTTATTCTTCTTGGCCATTGACCATCGTCCCTCCTAGCCATTCGTGTCTGCCCAAGAACGCTTTATTTTATTCACAGTTTGAATGGTGTCATTGGCGTGAGTTTGTTCTCCGATCCATGTTAAATAAACGTGTTTTCCAGGAATAACGCGAGTGGATATACCGTGCCCTACATGCTGTGCATAACAGATTTTGTTTACTTGAGATGACCAGGTGGCTGAGGTCAGCATCGCTGAGCTTGGCAACAGCTGAGACCCTGGGGGGTTCGAATCGAGGTTCCAACCACCTGGCGATGAAGCCGGGGCTCTCGGGGTGCCGAGTGGATGGTCACTGAACTTGGTTCGAAACTTTGCCTCAATTCCACCCACGTCCACTTCACGGCGCCCGAGCCAACGAGACGTTTGGTGAAGCAGCCCTCACGTCCCGGGCGGCGTGGGGAGGAGGCGGCCTTCATCAAACAAGAGGCTTTAAAACAGGTTGGTGATTATTATTATCAATGACAGTGTTGATGGCTACGGCCTATTCATGCTCAGTCGCAATAGCTTTCCAGAATTATAACTAAGACATCAATTATCATGTTTACAGACAGTCATCTTAATAGACATTAAAACTATACAAATTACACGTTGATGGACTCTCTCGTTATAAATCATCGCGTTGAGAGGAATCCCGCCTTATTATCGAACTGCAATTGATAAAGGTGCAGGCCTGCAATGTCTCCATCACGCCACTGCTGACGGGAGGGCCTCCACCACGGAGTGTCTGGCCTACTCTTCCACGGCGACAAAGACGTCTTGGGAAGAGGCGAGAGATGAGGAGGGGGAATGCCACACTTGACCTCACCATCGCACGCGACCTACCGATTCTAGCGAAGCCATCCCAAGTTGCTGGGTGGGATTCAACAAACTCGGACCGCTGTTTCAGCTGCCGCGTCCGCGCCGTGGAGGAGAAGAGTTCCCGAGAAGCATCTCGACACAAAGCTTCGAATCTAATCTTGATTTAGTTCAAATCTCGTTGATTAACAATCGATTATTTTATGAGCACAACAAGATTAGCATACCTCTTTAGAAATTCTAGCGTGGATAGGCATAGCGCCGTGTAAAGTCTAGTGTGGATAAGCGCGCGCTTTGTATACCATACCACTGATGGACATACCGTCCCGCTTTCTGCCGCCCTCGAACGCCATGCCTCTCCCGACCCCTCCTGCTGGACCCCTGTCACTCCGCAGACTCCCGTCGCAACCCCCTTGGACCCCCTCGGACCCCCGTGGACCCCCGTGGACCCTCCTGGATCCCGCGTCCGCGCGGAGACGGGGGTAGGCGCCGCGGAGGAGAGCGCAGCCTCGGCCCGGCCTCAGGGTCCGCGACCATTTGACGCTCTGCTCGCCACGCGTTGTCCGCCCAGTGGAGGACGGCCCAGTGGGAGTGGCGGAGAATTTATGAACCGGTCCTGGGCATCCCCTAGGTCTACTCAGCCTTAAAAAAACTAGTACTTGGTGTAAACATGCTTTTAATTTTGATTTGTTTTCTATCTACGTGACTTTACCGAAAGAACCAAGAATATTAATTCCTGCAGTCACGAAAGTCTAAATTGTTTGTGTTTTCTCGCTTGTGATGGGACTTGTAGGATGAACTTTGAGATGTATAAGGGGCACGGGGTGACCAATACGGTCTGAATCGGTCTGCGATTAGGTCGGGCACTGATAAGGGGTTCACAGGTTTGGATACTCTAACATTGTTCATCTAAATTTCGTAAAAGGGTAATAATAAAATAGAACAATACAATTCTCACGATGTTTCGATTGCAACACAAGCAATCATCATCAGGTGTGAAAACCACAGCAAGAAAATTAGAAAAAATTAGAAAAAAATGTCTTGCTGTTTTAATAGTAAATTTTTATTATTTTATTATTTCCCTTCTACGTGACTTTACCGAAAGAACCAAGAATATATATCGTTCATCCTCAACACAAATAATAAACATGACTTGACACGTCCCATCAGCCCAGTGTGTTTCCTAGTGGCCCCTGGGAGTGGAGAGGGGGCCCCAGTCTCGAGCCGCCCTTCGTGGAGACCTTCCCACAACGGCGACGCGAGGCGGCACTTGCAGGGCCGCGCCTTCACCAATAACCCAACAGGGCCGCGGACGAAGAGCGGTTGGCAAACATCGTCCCTCGAGTTCTCGCTTGGCTCTCTCTCTCTCTCTCGTCCAGTGGAGACCCCTTCCGACGGCATCGGCGTGAGCGGCAATTTCAGGGGCTGCGCCTTCACCTCGTCGCCGTTGATGGTGCAGGGCGGAAGTGCCGCGGCTTGTAGGCGTGGTGTGCGGTGTGGTTCACCGCGGTGCCTCAGCAACCGACACGGCCTCGCACTGCGCCCACACAGCGGCAGCAGCAGCAGCAGCGAGTCGAGTAGCGAGAGGCGCCTCTGGCCGGCCTCGCCGCGCGGGTTGCGACACGCGGACACGGCGAGCCGAGGGGAAGCAGTCCCTGGTACCCTCCCAGCTGCTTCATCTCCATCCGTCGTGCAGTCGTGAGGCGCCATGGCGGGCACGGCGCTCAAGCGGCTCATGGCCGAGTACAAGCGTGAGTCGCCACGCGACGGACGCGGAACGCGGCGGCAACTGCCGCTAACAACGACTCACTGGTGTCTGTCTACTCGTATACACAACAACTACACTAATACACACTAATATACACACTACACAACAACTACACTAATACACACTAGTACACACTAACTACACAATACACAACAACTACACTAGTACACACTAACTACACAATACACAACAACTACACTAGTACACACTAATACACAACAACTACACAACAATACACACCAACACACAATAATATACACTAACTACACAATACACAACAACTACACTAGTACACACTAATACACAATACACACTAATATACACTAACTACACAATACACAACAACTTCACTAATACTAACTACACAATACACAACAACTACACTAGTACACACTAAATACACTAACTACACGACAATAGACAACTATACAACAATACACAACAACTACACTAATACACAACTACACAACAACTACACTAATACACACTAATACACACTAACTACACAATACACAACAACTACACTAATACACACTAATACACAATAACTACGCTACTACACACTAAAATACACTAACTACACAATACACAACAACTACACTAATACACACAAATATACACTAACTACACAATACACAACAACTACACTAATACACACTAATACACACTAACTACACAATACACAACAACTACACTAATACACACTAATACACAATAACTACACTACTACACACTAAAATACACTAACTACACAATACACAACAACTACACTAATACACACAAATATACACTAACTACACAATACACAACAACTACACTAATACACACTAACTACACAATACACAACAACTACACTAATACACACTAATATACACTAACTACACAATACACAACAACTACACTAATACACACTAACTACACAACAATATACAACTATACAACAATACACACTAACTACACAACAATACACACTAATACACAACAACTACACAACAATACACACCAACACACACTAATATACACTAACTACACAACAATATACACTACAATATACAACAATACACAACAATACACACTAACTACACACTAATATACACTAACTACACAACAATGCACACCAACACACTAATACACAATACACACTAACTACACACTAATATACACTAACTACACGCATACACACTAATACACACTAATACTACACCAAAAAACATAAACACACATTGACACTGCAAAATAAACTGGTACGCACTAATAACCATCAATACACACTGACATCAATACACACTAATTAACATCAATACACACTATTAAACAATGACACTAATAGATATAAACGCTGCGCGAATAATCTACGTAAGACTAACTTCCACAACATGAACACGCAAACGAATACAATCACCACGCTGATAAGTGATAACCAGCAACGCTCACTTGCACAACAACAACAATGAGTTGAGTTCACGAGGTCCGTTCCACGCTCACAAACATAACATGAACAACATAGTAACACGAACATAAACATCACTACACTAATAAACACAACAACATTACATTGTTAAATACAACGTGTGTAAACAACTGCATGCAGCAGTGATAAGCATATGACTAATAAGTAAAACATTGTACAAATTAAATAACTGCAGTAATGTATGTTAACTAACAACATTATTATTAAACACGAGCTTGTTTGCCCGTCCAAGGACGGGTGTATATTGCAGTAAATCTGAAATATTAAATAGAAAAACGTCAGCTCATGATTATTAATGAGGGGGGGGGGGTTGCCCCATGTTAGTGACGTCACCCGCTAATGGTTATTGGGGAGGGGTGCGGCACGTGGCGTGCGCGACCTTGTGCGTTACTCTTTGGTTCTTTCGGTAAAGTCACGTGGGTATAAAATAAATTAAATCGCGACGTTTCGGGCGCAACACAAGCGTCCGTCATCAGCTGGGACAACCACAGCAATAAATAATTGCTGAAGTGAGTAGTTGCTTCTTGTGTTGCGCCCGAAACGTGATTTAATTTATTTTCTACCGACGTGACTTTACCGAAAGAACCAAAGAGTATGGATCCCTGCAGTCACGAAAACTTCACATCGAGATTCTTGCGCGTTAGTGTAAATTTCCACGCGGGCATGAATATTAATGAAGTCACGCACGGAAATCCGTGGATTTCACACCTGATGTTCATTGCTTGTGTTGCAGTCGAAACGTCGTGAGAATTTTTTTTTATATTTTTATTATTTTATTGTTTCCCTTTTACGTGACTTTACCGAAAGAACCAAGAATATAAACACAAAATAAGCACGGCATTAACTCACAACTTTAAACATAACATTTACACAACGTTTAAAATATTTAATACAGTACACGTAACATCAGTGGACATATCTTGGCGCTGTACGTGGCAGATGTAATGGGCAATATCAGCACTGAAGTTTCCATGAGAGTCCATGATGATGCTTCGTTGCATGATTGTGTTCCTTTCCATGAGAGTCCCAGCCTACTGCTGCACGATGATACTGCGTTGCATGATTGTCCATAATAGAGGTTTTTTGGGTTGATATTGGTCGCGAAAGCCATCGTGTTTAATTTGCATGATCGTGTTCCTTTCCATGAGAGTCTCTGCCTACTGCTGCACGATGGTACCGCGTTGCATGATTGTGTTGATTTCCACACAGAGCTCACGCTGAATCCACCGGAGGGCATTGTGGCGGGTGAGTGTCTCTATTCTTGCTGTGTCACAAAAAGACGGATCCCCTGTCCAGCCTTTAACAGACTGTTGGGGCCAAGTGCTGTTAGCCGAGCACCTATGAAATGCTGAAATTGCACATGAGGTGACCAGCCTTTGCCTCTCAAGTGCTGATGTTTACACACTACACCAAGTACTTAATTCAGGCTGAGTCAACCTCGGTGAAGTTCATGACCAGTTTATATATTTTACACTGTTATTGGTCGTGAGCGGTAATCGAACTTGGGTCACCTGGTTTGTAGTAGGGCTGAACGATTAATCAATTTCAAATCGAAATCGCAATTGGAAACAATGCGATTAGCAAATCGCAAAGGCTGCAATTTTTGTGAGATTTGAAAAATCCTAATACTTTCTTATTGGAATTGTTAAAATTTTATTATAACTTTATTTATTTAACTTAACAATTGTTCTACATTTGATTGTTCAATTTAAATTAAAACATTTTAATTAATAAATGTTGGAAGCAATTAATATCTTTTAAGTTCTCATCCTTGCATTAGAATATATAGAGCAGTTCATATTTTGATGGTATCATGTGGTAATGCTCCATCACATGTTTTAAATATATATTACACAGTGAAAATTGAACTGAAGCTTGACTTTAAAAAATGTATCGCAAATCAAATCGCAATATCTGTCAAAAAAATCGCAATTAGATATTTTACCCAAATCGTTCAGCCCAAGTTTGTAGCACAGTGCGCTGGCCACAATACACTGCTTCTGTGTCATACGCAGTGGTGGCGTGTGCGAGTTTCCAATCATTTACCCGACCACTTCCATTGAATCACGGTAGAAAATGATCCTATTATACCCCATTAAATATAAGTGGAGAATTTATACGGATTTATTTTATTTCAAAGCCTTTACTCGTCTCCTAGCAATGTGATGCAAATTATAATTATGTTCTATAAAGGCTTGAGAGTGACTGACTGGTGAGAAATATAATGATTTTATTTGAAAGTCTGGAGACATCTCCCACCAATCTCAACACACTTATTCAATAGTTTGTAAGATATGCGAACCATCCCTTTACAACATTCAATCTGCTTTAAGAAGGTCATTAGATATCCGTGGTGTATGGAGGAATAGCAAAACTGCACAAACTCTCATCTGAAGCCTTCTCGTGGCGAGCAGATCTCAACATTGCCATTTAGCTCTTGATCAAATTTCCGTGGTACACAATAATACAATAGTGGGGTGTCTGAATGAATCATCCTATGTTTTTTTTCAGGGCCATGTAACAGCCCAATGAGTCTCGGTGTTGTCTCTCTTACAATACGGGAATGTACACATTGCCTTCGAACATAATGTCCCATTCAGGGCATTTCAATCAGCTCACGTGCAAGCTGCTTGATGGAGTATTAGACAGCAGCATCGTGAGACGTGGCGGCGGTGGCTTCGCTCGACCTTAATCAGCAGTGGATTGGCCACGGCTGCTGATGATGATGTTGATGAAATTGTCCATACGTTCCACAATGCTGTACGGTATATGATGTCGATACCTCTACAACATTGGCACACGTTCTAAACAAGCTAGGTTTCTGGCGGCGTGCATATTATGGTAATTTTGCTTATTTAATGAAACCGCATCGCATGATTATTCACTTTTGGTGTTCCTTGACCTGGATTAAAGGTCATAGATTTTACAAAGCTTGTCATTAATACCGTCGGTGCCAGACCCTGGGGTCAGAGTGTGCTCTGACTGGACTTTGTACAAGGATCCCTGCTCAAGTGTTTACATGGACAGCCTGCTCTTTTATTGTCTTGTTGTTGTTGTTTGTGATCTTAATCCGGAAATCCTTGCAGATTCACAGATGAGGGAGAATATTAAATGCCATGACCCTCACAGACTAAATTATTTCATCCCAAGAATATTCTAAATAAGAGGAGTTCTGAATTAACAGTTAAAATTTTTTACTGTTTCTGTAGAATAATAAAAGTAGACGGCGTGTCATAAACTTGGTGACATCTAATTTAGATAAGAAATGCAAATGGTTAACTGTCAAAGGGAGGTGTGATGTGCTTTAATGATTATATTGTTTTGGGATTTGAAATATAATTAATTTGGAAATAATGCATTTAACTCAAGTAGGATGTCGTGAGATCCATCGGTACACATCCAGATCTTACCTGGTAAGGACCCAATATGAATATTTAAAAGAAAATAGATTTTGCTTAGCACAGAAGCTACACATAAACACACAACGTGATCACAAATGGATACTTTATTTTTCAGTTTCCGAAAGAAGAAAATTACTCAATGCAAGTTTTACGTAGGTGTACATTCGTTTAGTCACTCCACTGCTGGATGAGGGCCTCCTTACACAGTGTGGGAGTTCTTTGACCATACTTCACACTGGTCAGTGCAGGTTGGTGAAGGCGGGGAGCGTGGTGTTATACACGTACGTTAAGGCAATGGATTTTGCTGCTACTCCCCACGTCACCCCACAGTCTAAACCACCCATCCAAGCACGAGCCAGGCTCAACTCTGCTTAGTTTCCAGAGATCTGACGAGGCAGGGTGCATTCCGGGTGATTTGGTCAAAAATGACAAATCGTGTTGTGTTTGGTATCTCGTTTTTAGGACCGGTGGACGAAGAGAACTTCTTCGAATGGGAAGCTCTCATTATGTGAGTACGACAGGCAGTGTTGCACCTGGAGACCACGAGGACACATTGATGCAACCTAAAACACTCGTAATCTGTAGATGATAGATTCACACCAGGGCTCTGGGTTCCGGGCTGTCCAGTAATAAACCTGAAACTTCGATTAATGGGAGAAACACTTTCAAGTGACTCTTCAGCGTGCCGCCTCGGCATTCCAGTGATATTACTCCAGCTATGTCTGCGGCTTATGGGTTAGAGCTCTGAGCTAGTACCATTGAAATCCTGGGTTCATATCTTGATTTTAACTTTTCAAGTTGATGGTCCCAGCCTGGTCACCATTAACTCTGGTTTCTCATTTAATTTGGTAAAATTCCATCACCCGAGAATTGACTATTAGTTTGACCGTCACGCAACAAACATTTTCCCAATGACCAAACTCAAAAGCAACTTTATTAATCATAATATTGGACGTGAAAATCTACGCGTTAACATTTCCATCTTCGGCAGAAATGGAAAGAGCGACACGAGTGAACCGCTGTGGCGGCATGCAAGAAGATCTCTTGTCCTCATGAACGTGGCTGGAATTGCACGTTGGACGTGTACAGCCTGCGCTCTTGTGCTTGCTTCGAGTCATCCCGCGAGTGGTGTTTGTGCCGAACGTTAAGAGCAACCGTTCATGTGCAGGGGCCCCGAGGGCACGTGCTTTGAAGGCGGAGTGTTCCCCGCCGTGCTCACCTTCCCTCCCGACTACCCGCTCAGCCCACCCAAGATGCGCTTCACCTGCGAGATGTTCCACCCCAACAGTGAGCCTCCTCTCTCTGTTCCATACGCACACGACGTCTGTACCCACGTGGCACACAAACGCACGTGTCACCCATAACCCACGTGTCACCTAGTGTAAGAGATTAAACGAGGCCTCCCACTCCAATTCCCCCCCCCCCCCCCCCGACTTCATAAGTCCAGGGCCTTGGTTCCTCCAGTCCGTGGTCACCAGTGCCGTTTGACGGCCTACACACTCAATAGCTACGCCACTGACGCTAATGAAGCACGTATCGAATAATGCAGTTACTCTGGTTACTGTACTGTAATATATATTTTCCACTTGCACATCGAAACCAAGCCAACATGGCGCTATCACGGTACAGGTGGGTTTTCCATTGGCATTTTACCATTGCGTGTGACGTCAGCGGCACGGCTCGTTGAGTGGAAAGGCAACGTTGGCTTCCTAACCCATGCTGGGCTGGCTCAGATGTGCCAGTGGAGGACAAGCGAAATGTTGGCGGGGTTAGCCACGTCGTGTGTTCATGATTGCTCTGCGGTCTCCACGTGTCCCCAGTTTACCCAGACGGGCGAGTGTGCATCTCCATCCTGCACGCGCCGGGCGACGACCCCATGGGCTACGAGAGCAGCGCCGAGCGCTGGAGCCCCGTGCAGAGCGTGGAGAAGATCCTGCTGTCCGTCGTCAGCATGCTCGCCGGTACACGACACATGAACCTCCCTCCGCGTGGGGGCCCCTGCTCTCCGGGTCAGGCGACGAGCGTGTCGCGCGTGTGCATGCTCACGGGGCGGGGGGGGGGCCGCGCTTGGATCGCGTTCGAACGACGTGCGGCCGGTGCGGCCGTTTCCTTCACGATAGGAAAATGAAAGAAGTCGCCGAGTTGTGAATGTGGTGAAGTGCGATCTGTCCGTCACATGTAATCCACCGCTGTCCATTGCACCGGACGTCCGATCAGAATACGTCGAGCAACTCCTGAGGCGTTCGAATTCATGATCAAGCTCAGGACATCGCTATAGCGTCCATCAGTAGATCTTCGATTGCCACAAGAGGGACTCGGCGATTCGTAAATGCGACCGTATTCTCCAGACTATAAGATGCTCCGGAAAGTAATATCAGCCCCAGACTTGTGCCCAGTGTCATTAAAAGTTATACAAATGTGGCCACACACAAACACACAGATACCGGATTACAAAACACACCCCCCCCCCCCGACTTTTGGTTTAAGATACAGGGGAAGGAGGAGTGTATCTTAGGAAGAAACATACAAATGCATAACAAAAATGTACACGTTTCTGCATGTTTTGACGCTTGTGGTTTTCTGGCCTACGCTTATTCAATCATAATGGGATTTTGTCATCATTCACATATTTGATTAATCTAAAGTATACGGAAATGAAAAGTAATATTACATGTTCCCTCAAAACAATGCGAGCTGATGGCACACCTTATCCCACTTCTTATGCCAGATTCCTCCAGCAGGGGTCAGCCTACCCACAAGACAACCACTTGCGCAACTTTCTTTCTTTTATATCATGTGATATTAAAAGTTCACTGAACAATTGAAGAATCAAAATCCTCTTTGAAACTGGAGAAATTCGATGAGCTATGAATATCTTTTTCACAGATGTTCAGTAGGGGCGTAAGATAATTGTTGGGAGGGACACAACTGGAAAACAGAGTATGTATTCGTAGGGTAGGCGTGCACAGCTTACACATGAAGGCCTGCAAGTTGCATGTGTTTACATGTGATGTGTTCACATCACCCTTGCAGCCACTGGCAGCTTGCTACATTAACCACATTCTTGAAAAATATTTTTAAAAAATGTATCGCAATGTTGAGTCACAACAATTCATGGTTACCGGCTGCTGATAACTGCCATAGTTGGGTTAGTAGCAGCATGCTGCGCATATCATCGGGGCTTCTTCACCCACTCACAACCGACCAGCGTGGTGACGACTCAAGGGACGGAGAGATCACGCCTGATGCCGATGCGAGCTTGAGTAAAGCTACGGGGGACTGATGACGATTTGTTGTTTGTTTTTTTACCGGGACGCGATCGCAGAACCCAACGACGAGAGCGGAGCGAACGTCGACGCATCCAAGATGTGGCGCGAGGACCGCGAGCAGTTCTACCGCATCGCTCACCAGACCGTGCGCAAATCCCTCGGCCTGTAGATCATCGGCACCTGGAGCTTGAGAGTTTTATTTTAAAAATTTAAAATAATATTACTACATGCTATAGAACAGAGCGTCCTCGGAATACCAGGTTCACTCGCGGGTGGTTTTTCTCATCAATTAGCCCGCTATTTTCTATTTTCAGTCCACGTACAGCTTGTGGCGGTACTGGTTAAGGTGCAGCGCTGCAATTGCTCCCTCGCGTCACTCCTGGCAGAAGGGCCTCCACTGAAGGAGTTCTAAAGGGGTTCTAGGGAGCCCCTTGAGAAAATGTGGCTTGCTCATCCACAAACAGCTTGTAATGTTTATGTTACTTGTTAAATTGTGAAAAAAACCCCACTGCGGACTCCACCGAAAATCACAAGTCAATTCTGGAATGCGCAATGCTGCGGTAGTCGCCGTGCAGTACGGTACTAGACCGCGACCGCCTGGCGCATGCGATGTCTCCACGCTGCGTGGAGATATGCGGCTAACGAGCAGTCAGTTTTATGCTGTGCACAATATCCTGGTGTTGAGCTTCCAGAGTGCCAGCTTCCATTCTCCAATTTTATTTCCATTTTAGGGGTCATTCTGAGAAAAACAACATATATAGCGGATTCTGCATATCCACTAGCATTATTTCGAGGACACTATCTCCACGAGTGAGAGGATTCTTGTCTTTGCCACAACACTGACCCAGTGATTATACTCCACCAAAGTTTGGTAGCCACCAGAGATGGCACCAGATAATTCAAATACAGCATTGGTAATCTGTGGATCTGGCCAACATTGACCGCTCAAATATGATCGTTTTTAGTTCACACGTAATTTGACTTTGGTCAACTCTGATTGCTTAGCAGATTTTGATTATTTAGTACAGGGAAAACGAATGATAACTTTGCACAGCTAGAGCATAGGCTGAATGATGTTAGAAGATATATACGCTCCCATTGGGATAGTAAGAGAATGCTTAGGATGTCACTTCTGGCTCACGTGCAAATGCCATTCGTCGTTGAGATGTTTGTAGTATGTACAGAAAAATGCATCGCCGTGCATGGAAGCGATGACAATTATAACATTGAAAAATAAAAGACAAAAAAATGTATATAATTTATGATCGGTGAGAGTGCGGTTTGTCTCGCCGCTCAATCGAGCGTGAAGACAACGGCCACCTCCATTGGTGGTGCCGAGCCAATGGTGGAAATATTAGTGAACGCATGGCCAATATTGCGATGGCTCTTTTACCCTCGGTGCGAATGTGCGAGCACAATTGAGCTAGCGCCGCAGGGAAAACTGGGTTCAAATCCAGGAAATCAAAGCAGATCCTGAAAGTTGTGGATGAATCGCTCGATTTTCAATTATCACAACGATCAGAACCCTCTATTAGCAGCTGGCGAATGACCATCCAACACAAGTCTCTTGCAGGACAGACCCAGGAAAATCAATGTACCGTCTTACACAAAAAACATGAAGTAACTAAGGATAAGTTGATGATTTTACTCTTTATATTGAGCAGTACAAACCTGAGCAAGCGGAGTTCCGTGTAGGCCGTGCACGCCGTGATCGGTGGAGGAACAGTTCACGAGTGCGCTCTTAACACCGCAACCCGCAACACAGACGTCACGCTATTGAACATGCACTGTAGGTCCAAGCGGAGTTTAATTCTTTACAGAATATTTTCGGGGACGCTGGTGGTAGACTGGGATAGGCACGTGACTGTAGTAACCACAGTCATCGCAAGAGGTGGTAGACTGGATGTGGTGTGCTCGGTGAGGAAGTATTTATCCAGGTTGCCGACCCAGGCATACCCGGCTGACCCTGGATTTATCGATTCAAGCCCTGTACATTTCAATGACTTGTCAGGATCATAAATCGTTTATTTATTTGCCCTTGTGGTGCAATTATATTCCACAGGTGTCCTAAATAATGTAATATCCTGTCGGTCTACTGCTGTATGAAGGCCACCCCACGCTGTGCAACTCACGGGGGTTATTTGACCATACATCACCATGCTGGTAAATGCGGGCTGGTGAAGGGAGGGCATGGGGGTAAGTTCAGGGCTGCTGCAGATATCACCTTAGCCTTCAGCTGTTCACAGTGCAGTGTATTAACCACTGTGCTGCCACTCCACCTACATATATTGGTACATGAAAAAAGTATCACTGCCTTGTTCAGAAATGGTCAATTCTTACACTCGATTGTGTACATTAATCAATATATTTTTATCTTATGATCAGTCAGTCCATGCGGTGAATGCATTTAGAGCTGGGCCCTGATTATGTAACTTAATCGATCACAAAATTGACTCCACTAAATCGGATGGCACAAAAATAAGTTAAAAAGAAAGTCTCATCTCTTCCCACATGTGCCGCTGAACGGGAGGTAATGAGTCGAGTTTGTCGACATCGTTGACTGCGTCACGCTGGGCGTGGCTTGTACTGCGGGGGTTTCCCACCTTCGGAAGGAAGCATATGGAAGGTTACCATTTCCGAAGTTGCCCAAGTTATTGACCACTTCAAAAAGGAGTAATTGCAATTTTTAGTCCATTGATCAACTTCACTGTCCAATCGCCGCGGTTACAAATGCATGAACAGCCCCACTGGGTCACGCGCAGTCTTCGGCGCACGGCAGCAATGGATTTTTGGGGCTTCCAACCTGAAACATGTTTATCCAGTATTGCCTAAAGAGGACGTTTAGCATTTTAAAAAGTTTGCTCGACTTTGCTCGGTAAAAATATATATTTTGATTGCTCTGTGGAGACATGCACATTTCTTTACCAAAAATGGTCAATAAACTCGCTCACGAATATGTCCTCCCTCGTCGCCTGTATTGCATTGTACACGCGGCACTTTTGCCACTACTGCTGGATGAGGGCCATACCGTGGGTTATTTGATCATACTTCACTATGCTGGTCAGTGAAGACGAGGAGCACATACGTGCAAGCACAGAAGTGGGGTACAACAACGGATTTTGTTGCACTGCCATCTGCTGCCCACCACAGCCTTGCAAACCCAATGACGTTACTGCGTGGCGGTCAACCCACTCACTATCTAGGCTCAAAGTTCATAGCTCCCGAGATTTGATGAGATAACCCATGTTTACTAGGTTGGTATTTTTGGCCTATTCAAAGTTGCGAGTACCCGCAATTTAACTCGCCACACGTGAAACTTGCCCCATTGATCAATTTGCTACGATGGATTTGACCTTGTGACCTCTTGATGTCAAGTCCAAGGTGCGCTCGCCATTTCACCATGGCAGCTCCCAATGTTATAACTTGTATTGCACCCATCATTAATCACAGTAAACCTGTTTTTCATAAATCATTAATCACATGACATTGACCCACTGTGTATGTTTAGCGCGCTTAAGAATCGACTCTGTTTCACGTGCTTAATCCATTTTAATTGACGAATAGATGCATTGTCACATGCGTCATTAATTAACGGAACAAAATACTGTACAATACTTTAGAAATGTGCGACACATGGTTGAGCAGTACACAGCGGTTCTAAGAGCAGTACTGGTGACAACGCATGCTCTCTTGTGACTTACCAACACGGGGATTTCTACCCCCACGAAAAATAGTGACCTATAAAACTGTCGTCACCATCTTGAAAATAGTTTTTTTTTAAATCAACGTTAAAAGTTTTTGCACTAAATAGTTAGGTAAAAATACTTGTTGATTTGAGTGCTCTTGTTACATCTTCAGAAAAAATTAAATCAATCCACTTGTTATAAAGCACTTATACTTTAGACAAGGAATAATTTTCAAGCTATGCAACACATACTCATGTGTTATACTTCTGTAAACAGGTTATGGGGATAAAGATTACATTGAATAAAGGAATTCTCCGTAAAAAAACGCTTGGGATGTTTTATATTATTAAATGTTCAAAGAACAGCAGGAACAAAGATCACATCTTTTCAAATGCCTAGTCTTGTGAACCGGGTGTCATGATAGCAGAAAGAGCATTTCAACCAAACCTCACACTTTCTGTAAACGATGAAAAACCCATCGAAATGGAACAGACCGTGCCGACCGGAAACAAACGAGAGGAGGGCCACTGTCTCTGCACGTGTTCAATCGTCATCTTCCATAGCCTCTAGCCAGTGTGAGCTTTCATATGCTTGTTCATGACAGAGATCTTTGTGAATCGCTCGCCGCACTCGCTACAAACGTACGACTTCTCTCCGTGCGTCTTCTGGTGGTTCTTCAAGGTGGAGTTCTGCGCGAACGCCCGTCCGCACTCGAGGCAAACGTAGGGCCTCTCGCCCGTGTGTATCCTGCGATGGTTCTTCAGCGTGGTGACCAACGAAAACGCCTTCCCGCAGTCTTCGCAGGTGTACGGCTTCTCGCCGGTGTGCGTCCGCCGGTGGTCCTTGAGCCGGCTGATCTTGGCGAACCGCTTACCGCAGTCTTTGCAGACGAACATGTAGGCCATCTTGCTGAAGGGGTCCGCGTGTATCCTCTGGTGCGCTTTGAGGTTGCTGATCTGCGCGAAGCCCCTACCGCAGTCGTCGCACACGTACGGTTTCTCTCCTGTGTGCGTCACCCTGTGGTGCTTCAGGGATGAGACGTCCGAGAATCGTTTCCCGCACTTCTCGCACGAATACGGCTTTTCTCCCGTATGTGTCCGCTGGTGGTTTTTCAGGTTGGAGATGCTCGCGAAGCCCTTGCCGCACACCTCGCAAATGTACGGCCGCTCTCCCGTGTGCGTCCTGTGGTGCTGCTTCAGCGTGGAGAGCTGGGAAAAGCCCTTGCCGCACTCGCGGCACATGTACGACTTCTCCCCGGTGTGCGTAGTCCGGTGGACAGTGAGGCTGGAGATCTGCGCGAAGCCCCTTCCGCAGTGGCTGCAGATGTACGGCCTCTCCCCCGTGTGTATCCGCTGATGGTTCTTCAACGTGGACGTGAGCGAAAACGTCTTTCCGCAGTCCTCGCAGGCGTACGGCTTCTCCCCCGAGTGCGTCCGCTGGTGCCTTCTCAGGTTGGACACCTTGGCGAAGCCCTTCCCGCACGCGGGGCACACGTAGGGCCTCTCGCCCGTGTGGATCACCACGTGCTGCTTCAGGCTGCAGTTGTGCGAGAAGCCCTTGCCGCACTCCTCGCACACGAACGGCCGCTCTCCCAGGTGCGCCCTCTTGTGCTCGGTGAGCAAGCTCTTGAGCGGGAAGGCCGCTTCGCACTCTCCGCAGGCGTACGGCGTCTCATCCGAGTGCGTCCTCTGGTGCACGAGCAGGCGCGAGACGCTCGCGAACCCGCGTCCGCACTCCGTGCACACGCGCGGCATCTCGAAGGCGTGCCTCCTCTGGTGCCTCTTGAGAAGCGATTTGCTGGAAAATGTCTTCCCGCAAGCCTTGCACGGGCGAGACTTGGCCACGTCATCTGCCGTCCCGTCTGGCTCGGGGCTGTTCTTCGCCGGCCGCCGCGTGGCACGGTGCTCCTGGCTCGGTGATAGTTTCCGCTGGGTCTGCGTTTGCAAGTGCTTTGTCAGAGCGTCAAGTCGCTTGAAGCGCTTGCCCAATTCCACGCCCATCAGGGGCCACTCGTCGGAGGGTGTCTCATCGTCGTTCGAGACTTGAGAATCGTCTGCGCAGCCCTTGCTGCTCTCTGTCGGCAAATCGGGAGTTTTCCTAACGTGTGTTCTCTGATGTTTCTTCAACAACGTGGTTCTGGAGAAGCCCTTCCCGCAGTCCTTGCACGGGTGCTGCCTCTCCACGGATTCTGCGTACAGTCAAACGGCAGGTCGCAAAATACATTTGATAAAATTGTTTTGGTATAGGTTTTATTTAAGCTTCCTTTTTCAAGTGTTTGTTTAGATTGTCCCAATGTAATATTCAAATTGTACTATCAGTGTCATGTCAAGGAAGTTTCTGTTTACAGCTCTCACTGCGAGCAGTGTATCATCACCCCATGTCAGAAAACAGCCCTGGAGAAATCTTTACTTAAAGCTTTCGTGACTGCAGGAATTGGGTCTTTCGGTAAAGTCGCGTAGATAGGTTCAAAGAAAATAAAAACGATGTTTCGATCGCAACACAAGCGGTCGTCATCAGGACCCATCTTCTCGGTTGAAATAGTGTCTGTGTCTGTATATATGGATGGCTTCATGAATGAATCTTTGTTGATAGCCAGTGGGTTTGCAAAGTATCTCCGTCTTAGAGAAATCAATTTCGTGTGAGCCCACCGCATTAAAACAATGATCAGCCACGGCCGAGGTATTGGTCCTACCATGTTTCAGATCTGCGTTATGCTCACGAACACGGTCCGAGACATGTCGCTTAGTTTCCCAATGTAACTACCTGAAGGTTGACATCACAGAACTACTTCTGAAGTCACTTCCAAAACGGTCTCTTTATCCACACTGGGGGATGCCAGGTCTCAACAGAAGTCTGTGGCCTCAAACCAATTAAATAATACAAAATATTATTTACAGTTGGTGTAGATTTTAAGTTTTCTTGACTGCAATGTTCTATACTCTTTAGTTCTTTCGGTAAAGTCACGTAGGTATAAAATAAAATTAAAGAAAAAAGTTTTTATTAATTTTTTTAAAATGTTTTTTATATAAAAAAGAGTGTTTTATTTAATTTTATACCTACGTGACTTTACCGAAATAATTTACAGTCCTTTGTCAATCCACTGCTGGATTAGATCTCACATACTGGGCACATTCTGGGTGATCTGGTTATAGGCACAAAGATGTGTAATTATTTCAAATCTATTCTCAAACTTAGTGAAATAACGTGTTGAATGTAGAACAAAGGTAAATCAGATTTTATCAACATTTCATTGAATTTATTTTAACTACACAAAAGCACAACATACGTTGCACCTAAACTGTTTACGATAACAAACTGTTTAGATAACAAAAGTGTACTGTCATATATATATATTTTACACAAACTTTGCATTGCCATGCAGCAACGTGGATAAAGGCAATACACAGAATCAGCTCGTGCTGATATTTCTGTCTGTTTTTGAGTCAGGCTACAGAGTAGTTTTATACCCCTTCACCACCCGGAATGATTGTCAGAACTTTAGTTCTGTTTCTCCACATGTTACACACAAGTGTTTTACTTGCTGGCCAGCTGATTGGCTGAGACCGGTCCAGAGCTTGCTTGCTTAAATAAAAGCTTGATAATATTGGTCTGGAAATACCAATCGGCTGCTGGACTGAAAACATTTCATGTATATGTGGAGAAGCAGAATGGGCTTGTGCGATTTCCTTTTATATATATATTGTAGTATCCTTTACGTGCCGTGAAACTATAGACAAAATAAACAACACAGCTCCCACCATCGCTAGTGTCTTCCAGTTCCACCTCTACCTCTGCCCAGCCTTGGTTGGGTGTCGTGTGCAAGCCCGGGACCTCGATGGGTCTAACGCTGGCGTCATCAGCTCCGATGTCTTCGTTTTCCAGGCCTGAAGAGCACACACACAAATACAACAAAGGAAGCAATCATTCAACAATTTGTCAGTAACATAAATATACAGTTTATGAAATACAGAGGGGTGCTGCTGTGGTGTCAATGTTGGCACACTGGACTTGCGGTAGAGGTCGCCAGTTCGCATCAATCTCCTGGAGCGACACCTGTGTGTACTCCCACCTCGAGAGGAGCTCTCCGAAGCTTTCTCTTGCACAAGGCCTCTTTGCCAGCAGTGGCACAAATAATTGCAAGGACTGGACCGTTCCGTAGATATATATGTACATAGCAGAATTTCAGTTACTTGAAGAGTATAAGGTTTAGTAATGTATTCATGCACTAGTACCTTGCTGTTCCTCAAGGCTTTTTCAGCAAGGTCCTGCTACATTGGTAAGCGTGGCCAAGCTGACGCAGGAGTGTTTGTACGCAAAAATGTTTATGACTGGTCCTCAACTAGCTGTGGTGGAACCCAATTACACTTCAGGGCTGACGGAGGTGGCGGGGAGGGGAATTTAAGAAAGTTGCACCAGTTTAAATTGCCGCACCGGGAGAAAGAGACAAATCCGGCAACCTCTGGATTGCAAACCCAGCGTGCTAACCAGCACGCACACAACTGTGGCGGCTGTCGCAAAAATGTGATGGTGATATTTGCTTTATGGATTTAATGGTGATGAAACAAGCGTTGGGTATAAAAGTACAGGAAACTCACTTGGGACACCTACCAGCATAATTTTCAGACTTCACTTCCGGCCAAATCTCACCAACATCACTTCCGATGTCTTGCATGATGGTGATGATGTCCTCTGACACCACAGCACTTGCATCTGTTAAAAGAGTTGCAGTTTCAAATAAAAAATATAATTTAAATTACTACCAGAAATGTTAATAGAGAATTCAAAGACATTGTTTAGTTATGTAATTTGATGCGCACTCTAAGTCAATGACCAAATCGGCTGGAACGCACCCAATCTCTTCAGACCTCATGAGCAAAGCTCAGTACTGGCTTGGATAAAACATGTTATAGGCTGCTGCTGCTGCTGGGCAGCAGAGGGCAGTGCAGCAGAGGGCAGGGCAGCAAGCATCTCTTGCTGTACTGTATTGTGCTTCCACATCTATGCTCCCTGACTTGTATCAACCCACAGTGACCATCGGTCAAGTATGGTCACATAACCGTCACAACCTGCACCGCGTGGGGCGACCCTCATCCAGCAGTCGACTGACACGAGCGGCTGTGCATGCAGAATGCATTCAGATTCCATGGACGTGTGTGTGTGTGCTGCATGTCAATGCTCATCCATTACCTTCCCCCGCTCAATCATTTACACAGAAATTAATATAAATTAATTGCACGGTCAAGTCGGTCTCGCTGGTGGTCATTCCACATTCCTGTGGCCAGTCCAGTGCCTCCATAACGCTGCCACTGCCGACTGACCACGACATTGACACTCAGCCCATCAACGGCGTGTTCATGAAGCGCCAGGAACCCAGGCGGCGCTCAAACCGCTCGGGGACAAATAACCCCGTGGCAGCGGTGTCAATTCCACACTCCTATGGCCGGGGCAAGTACCACCGTTCCCTTTCATACAAATGCAGTGACACGCTCGTTGTCGAGCAGAGCGCACAGCTGACCCCACGCGAGTTGCTTTAACTGCAGTACGAGAGACCTCACCCTGTCGAGGCACCGACGTCGAACAGTAGTTCTGCGAGCTCCGCTTCCGCGGACCGTTCTCCACGCGCAATGCTCTTTCAACGCGACACAGAGCGCGCATTTGGGGACAAGCAATAGCAGGCGAAATATGAGATTGCGTGTAGGAGGAGGTGGGCTCCGTCCCTCTCGTGGCGAGGAGCACGGCGGGCGGCGAGTGAGTGAGTGGCGTTCATTACCCACAGACTGCAGCCACGGGCCGAAGGCGCAGCGAAGCGGGCAGCCGCATCAGCCCGAGCGCTCCGAGACGACGACAACGGCAGCACGAGCCACGCCAACCAGTGCACGCGTCAATTAGCGCTGCTGTCACAAGGGAGAGATAAGAGAGAGAGATGGGAGAGAGAGAAGAGAGAGATGAGAGAGACATGGGAGAGAGCGCGAACCTTCAGGGCTCCTCTATCGCTCTGCAGGCGACCATGGCGCTACCCGGCATGCAGCGCGCGCACTGCAGAGACCGAGGGGGCGGGGGGAGGGGCGGGGGGAAGGGGCGGGGGGAGGGGCGGGGGGAAGGGGCGGGGGGAGGGGCGGGGGGAGGGGCGGGGGGAGGGGCGGGGGGAGGGGCGGGGGGAGGGGCGGGGGGAGGGGCGGGGGGAGGGGGCGGGGGGAGGGGCGGGGGGCGGGGGGAGGGGAGGGGCGGGGGGGGTTCAGTGATAATGATCCCTGTAGCAGCTCTGGCGTTATGAGTTTGTCATCACCATGGTGATGGTGATCACTATCACCATGGTGATGGTGATATCACCATGGTGATAATAAACTCATGTGAGGTTCATCTTCTTGGTTCTTTCGGTAAAGTCACGTAGAAGGGAAATAATAAAATAATAAAAATAAAACATTAAATAATACAAGAAGATGAATCCCTGCAGTCACGAAAGCTTTAAATCGAAATTCATGTGAGGTTATTATTAGTATGAAATCTATAGTTGGTTGGTGTTGTAAGTGTGTGAGTGTTTGTTACGACGGCAGTGATAGTCGTGCGTGAGTGTTCATATCGCTGTTGTTGTAGCACACTGCAGTACATCCTGACTTAAAGCTTGAGTGACAGCAGGAATTAATATTCTTTGGGTCTTTCGGTAAAGTCACGTAGATAGGTTCAAAGAAAATAACAAAAAGTCACGACGTTTCGATCGCAACACAAGCGGTCGTCATCAGAAAAAAAGGGGGTGGGGGGGGAGGCTACAGTCTACATTATAGACTGCCAGTACACTCACCCAGCTTAATAACCAGGCTACAGTCTACATTATAGACTGCCAGTGCACTCACCCAGCTTAATAACCAGGCTACAGTCTACATTATAGACTGCCAGTACACTCACTCAGCTTAATAATCAAGCTACAGTCTACATTATAGACTGCCAGTACACTCACCCAGCTTAATAACCAAGCTACAGTCTACATTATAGACTGCCAGTACACTCACCCAGCTTAATAACCAGGCTACAGTCTACATTATAGACTGCCAGTACACTCACCCAGCTTAATAACCAAGCTACAGTCTACATTATAGACTGCCAGTACACTAAACTCAGCTTAATAACCAGGCTACAGTCTACATTATAGACTGTCAGTACACTCACCCAGCTTAATAACCATTGCTACAGTCTACATTATAGACTGCCAGTACACTCACCTAGCTTAAAAACCAGGCTACAGTTTACATTATAGACTGTCAGTACACTCACTCAGCTTAATAACCATTGCTACAGTCTACATTATAGACTGCCAGTACACTCACCCAGCTTAATAACCAGGCTACAGTCTACATTATAGACTGCCAGTACACTCACCCAGCTTCATAACCAGGCTACAGTCTACATTACAGACTGCGAGTACACTCCGATTAAAAACCATGTAAGTTCATCAGTGGTTGTTATTGTAATAAAGTAGTTATATAACTTTATGGTGTGGTTGTTGATTGTGGAGGTATTATCGTATACCAGTTATAATGTTATAATGTTTGTATTGACGTAGTAGCAGTTATAAGTATGGTGCCAATGTGTACGTGTGTATTATGAGTAGTGTTTATATCATGAGTAGTGATTATTGTTCGTCACGGTTGCTGAGTACAGAATCAGAATCTGTATTTGGACTGCTGGAGGAATCTGATGAACTATGAAGCTCTTTTTCAGAACGTTACAACAACGAACACACTACACAAACACGGTGGCAGTGCAAGGTCAACTAACCACTTCAGGCTGCCAAGCGGCCAGTAACAAACATCACTCTCAATGTCGATTTAAAGCTTTCGTGACTGCAGGGATTCATCTTCTTGGTTCTTTCGGTAAAGTCACGTAGAAGGGAAAAAATAAAATAAATTAACACATTATAAAATTAAATTCTCACGACGTTTCGGCCACAACGCAAGCAGCCGTCCTCAGGTGAAGAACGGGGCTGTAATGCGGACGCTGTCTTTCCGACAGCCCTGTTTTTCACCTGAGGACGGCTGCTTGCGTTGTGGCCAAAACGTCGTGAGAATTTTATTTTATTATGTTTAATTTTTATTATTTCCCTTCTACGTGACTTACCGAAAGAACCAAGAAGACCACTCTGAATGGTTCAGAGTTAATCTACGGTAATCGAATTGAGCGATGTTGTTATAGAATCTTGGGGATTGAGACACCCACTGGACAATTATTTCCCAAAGTCGCGCAGAGCTACGCGTTCGAGTCTGCCTGTGAAGCATCCGCACATCCGATTATCACGGTTGGCTACGTACGGTGCGAAAGAAGTTCAACACGCGTGCATACATAGACGCTTCTCCGTGCGGTGAGAATAGGACGAAGGGAGGCTTCCCAAAGGGACCGGCTTGCCAGCTCGTAGCCGGCTGAGCCCACAAACAAGAGTTGAACCCGCGACCTCGCGATTGTCATTCAAGCGCTCTGTCCACAAAGCCACACGGCGCAACCCATAATACCCTCTGTGTGTGTCCATCTCCTCCGTTCTTACAGCACTTCCCCGAGCGGCCTATTCACACAAGCAACGCGCACACAACAACGCGCACACACACAAAAAACTCCGAGCGGAGGGTCACGCAAGAGCCGACGGATTGCGCACGCCGCGCGTAAATCCTCGCGCGGCTTCCAGGCGGATGAGATCAGTGGCTCACCCGGCGACACGTTTCGGAGGGGCCAAAACTTTGCCATCACAAAAGTCACTCACGTTCGGGGAAGGAAATGTGTCGGAACGAAGTGAAATGTTCAAAATAGCATCGTGAGTTATTTTGCTCAAATCAGCTTTAAAGCGGTTCACATCTCCCGTTGATAGTCAGTGGTGGGAATTCCACTTCTCTATGACAACCACTGTTGATCTCCCCACCAGTGGTCGTGATTTTAACGACCCCGGGAGGATGATGGGCTGAGTCAACCCCCACAACCAGAATGTGAACTCGCAACCTTCCGATGGCGAGCTGCTCGATCTACCGCTGAGCCACCTGGACATATACAACAAGTATTGTATTGTCTATCAGACGAGAAGCTGTTGTTGATTCAGCATCCACAACCGGCAACACCACCACCAAGCAGCAGCAGGCACGTGGAGCGAAACGTCGAACATCGTGCCAAACGACGCGCGGCACGACCCGAAAACACACGCTGGAGAGCCATCCAGCGCAACCCCAAAAACAATAACAACAATAACTTCCACAAACGGTAGAATAACGAGTCGCGCCGCTTTACAACTTCACATCTGTGCACAATCTCTAGAGCGGCAGAGGCGGTGATCCACGGCCTACGACGGCCACCCAAACAATCCCGGGCGCGGCGGTGGCGGCATGCGGGACGGTGATGTCGAATGCGCTCTCTGCTGCTGTTCCACCACGCCGCCGGGAGCCTCGCTGCTGACACGGATTATAATAGACGATAACTTGGACCCATTAGGGAATTCACGAGATGATGTTTGCTCGTGTCCTCCTCTCTCTCCTCCTCCTCCCCCTGCCCCCTATCCCGCTGGCGCTGTCCGTGGCAGGCGGCGCCCGCGATCTCCGTGGCTGATCAGCATGCGCGCTCTGTGGTGCCACGGAGTTTGCGGGGCCGGGATCCAAGGCGTCGCAAAGCGGGAGACATCCATCTGCAACGCCACAGAGACGAACACTGCCCCCTTTGTCAGCCGGCGTGGGGGGAGCAAGAGCCAGAGGAAGGGAGGGGGGTAGGAAGGGGAGTTTTAAAAAAAGAGAGAGACCGTCCTTAGACGTGGATCCCATTGAGCCAAGTCCAGCCCTTTTTTTTTTGCCAATGTGACAACCCCGGCGGCGATTTTTTATCGGAATAATTCCCATTCAGTGGAACATCAATCCCCGCTGGCAGTGTGAGCGCGCCCGACGCGCATAATAAACCCCGCGCCGCGCTGCGCATGACGCCATGGAAGCCGGGGGCGCACAAAGCGAGTTCCCACGCTGGATGTGGGCCCTGGCAGCCCGGCGCGAGGCCAATTACATCGTTATTGATATCGCGGCACGGCACGGCACGGCTGTTTACCCGCTCGGACGCCGCGTCTCCCGTCAAGATTTACGCGCGGAATTACGCCTGGCCGCGCTGTTTACCCACCAACACTCAAGTCGGTTTGGCCACTCCCGGTTCTATTTACGCGGTAATGTTTGAGTTTCGGTGACCCCCACCCCGAGTCGTGACGTTCTCACCTGCACCTACCGGAGATCTGTGAAAAAGAGCTTTCATCGCTCATCGGATTCCTGCAGCATAAGTAAAGATTCTGATTCTGAGTGAATTCGAGTTGCGTTATCGGAGTCAAATTACGGGGCAAAGGGTCTCAGGAGCAATGTGACTAGGAAATGGTCCGTGGAAGCAGATACCTCAGAACTAATTCTGAGATCCCTTCAAAGTGACCTCCTCTTATTCAAACACAAGTGAGCAGCACGCTCTCTTGTGTCCTGATACGTGTCAGTCACATTTTTTTTTTAATTCTCAGGCCTGGCATATTTGCAAACATTAAGAGTGACAAAACTAATTTGATGATAATTTAAACTTATAACGTGCACCGTATTCGCTCGCTCTCTAATCGAGAGCCATTCAGCAGCGAGAGGGACTACAGACGAGCAGGAAGGCAGCAGCAGCCACGCGTTGAGCCGGCGCCAACAATTGCCAAGGCTCTGCGGTCCTCTACATATTAAGGTGTTATCGGCCAATTAGGAAGTGTTCACATGCACAGGAAACCGGGGTACCCAGAGAAAACGTTCGAGGAGGCGCCACGCTGTCCCATAAGACGGAACACGTGGAGTCCACATTTTTGCTGTACTGCCTTCTCCTGGCAAACCAGGGTACGACACCTCAATACCCACGGGATGGGAGTTCCGCAACGTTTCTGCGAACCACCAACCCTCGCCACCACGGTGCTGGATTACATGCCACGTGCAAAGCCACCACCGCTCGCATGAGGAAATATTTGTCAGTAGTCATTGGTGACCGGGTTAAGACCATGGACGCGCTACAGCTGAGAAGCCGGTCGATTCACGAGCGGCTGGAACCCGGATTTGGAAGCTGGCTCAGTCATCTGACATCTGAGCCACCCAGCCAACTCAATAGAATCCGAACGCAGAGCATCGAAATATAACCAAAGGAGGGCAAAGCACGATAGACGCACGTGACCTGTGATGCAGCACCGTGGAGGCAGCGGCGAGGGTTGGTGGGCTGCAAGGAGCTATAACCCTGGCTCGCCAGGAGAGTGCAGTGAAGCATGCGATAGAGTGTTTCCCCCTCGCACGCGTGTGTGTAGGGTAACCATCGCTGACTTCGAACGAAGCTGTATTTTATCTGCCACGGCACGAGGCATGATGGGCTGAGTCGATGGCCGGTCGGGATTTGAGCTCGCGGCCAGCCACGCTGCGAGGTACGCGTGCTGCCACCGCTGTGCCACTTGACTGATGGTGGAGTACTTGATTTTATCCGCGAGTGTTGATGGGAAATTACGCGCTAATAGAAACGCACTCACATTCGCACGGCTTAGCTGTGCCATCCCGCGGCGGTGGCACAATGCGCCGGGCTTACGCCACACTGCGCGCAAGCATTCAAATGTCTCTTAATCCTCAGCCATTTCCTAACGGATCCAAGTTTTCATCTCGAATGGATGTCAGCAGTGGCGCACACGTAGGAGGCAAATGGGGGCAGTCCCTCACCACCTCGCAATCCCCACCTCCCCCCCCCCCCAATGAAATTCTGAGAAGGACGGTGAACGTCACGGATCAGGGGTGGACAGACCGCGTCTTGCGAGTCGCACGCGGCTCCGCGCCGTTCAAGTGCAACAACAGTTCAGTAAACTGAAAGTTCATTGAACAAAGCAAACAATCTCCGGAAGCGGGAGCCGCCCGGGACGCTCGTCCCTGGCAGCGGGGCCAGGCATGAGCGCTCCCGGGGCGCTCCTGCAGATTTCTAAATTCCAAACCACGCGGCCAACTGGCGCGGGCAAGCCGGCCGCGTGACCTCTTCAGGTGACTACTCTGAGTGACTTCCCCGCGTGACCTCTCCGCGTGACTGACCCACGTGACTGACCCACGTTAGCGGCCCATATGGCCACCCTACGGGCCCTCTCCGAGTGACCTCCCCGAGTGACCCTCGAGAGAAGTGGTTCTTAATCTTTACTGCAGCCTTGCACCCCTTCGGATTTGAATCGTCAAAAAACGTAAAATGTTGATAAATACATCGGGGTTTGATGAAACAAAGTAAATTGTACTTACGTGCCCGTGCTTGATTTGTATTTCGATGATTTACCTCATCACAAAATCTGGCCACGTCTCGCACCCCCAGAAAGGGCTTCTCGCACCCCCAGGGGGTGCAATGTGCACATTGCACCCCCTGGGGGTGCACATTGCACCCCCTGGGGGTGCAATGTGCACCCCAGGTTTAGAAGAACCACTGCTCTGGATCGTGCACCTGTAAGGCTGTGTGTGTGTCTTGTGGCTAGGATGGGTCAGCAGGCCTGGCCGTCCTTTCCATGGACCATGCCTGATATTTATCATCAATGTACAATTGTAAATAAATACTTCTCGCAATATGTTTTGATGTATTTTCCCCATATATCTGCTTTAATGATCATTTTAGACAAAGCGAATGAAAAAACACGATTGCTGGGTAGAGTGTAGTGGTTGAGTGAGCGAGTGAATAGTTGTGGCGTGCAGTGTCGTGGTTGAACGCAGCGGTGGTGGTGGTGGTTGTGGTTGCTGAGACGAAACAGTCAGAGAGCCTGGCAGACTTCAACACGCGTGGAGGAATCAACGAGTGAAGTTCACGGGCTCGGCAATCATGGCAGGAGTAGCAGTAGCAGCGATAGAAGAGCGACGAAGAGGCGACTGTCCGCGAGTAAGCGGAGAGTGACTCAGAATCTATATTTAGACGGCAGGAGGAATCCGATGAGCTATGAAGCTCTTTTTCACAGTTTTCCGGTCGCGGGCACGGGGTCAGCAGTGAGTGCCGGGTCATCAATCACCGCGACTGCTGCTGCGGTCGCAGCCGCGTGCTCCACTCCAGCGAAGACAGCGGCGGCAGCAGCCGCGAGATTCCACCCGCGTCGTAACGCCCCCACCGCAGTCTCCATCCCCACCACCACCACCCCACCCCCACTACCACCACCCCCACCACCATCTCCACCACCACCACCCCCACCACCACCACCCCCACCACCACCACCACCCCACCCCCACTACCACCACCCCCACCACCACCCTCACCACCATCTCACCACCACCACCCCCACCCCCACCACCACCACCACCCCCACCACCACCCCCCACCACCACTCCCACCACCCCCACCACCACCACCCCCACCACCACCACCACCCCACCCCCACTACCACCACCCCCACCACCACCCCCACCACCACCACTCCCACCACCACCACCCCCACCACCACCACCCCCACCACCACCCTCACCACCATCTCCACCACCACCACCCCCACCCCACCACCACCACCACCCCCACCACCACCCTCACCACCATCTCCACCACCACCACCCCTACCCCCACCACCACCACCACCCCCACCACCACCCCCACCACCACCACTCCCACCACCACCACCAACATCCCCACCACCATCCCCACCAGCACCACCACCCCCCACCACCCCCACCACCACCACCCCCACCACCACCACCCCCACCACCACCACCACCCCCACCACCACCCCCACCACCACCACCCCCACCACCACCCCCACCACCACCACCATCCCCACCAGCACCATCACCCACCACCCCCACCACCACCACCCCCACCACCACCACCACCATCCCCACCAGCACCACCACCCCCACCACCCCCACTACCACCACCCCCACCACCACCACCACCACCACCACCCCCACCACCACCACCACCCCCACCACCACCCCCACCACCACCACCACCCCACCACCACCCCCACCACCACCCCCACCACCACCACCATCCCCACCAGCACCACCACCCCCCACCACCCCCACCACCACCACCCCCACCACCACCACCACCATCCCCACCAGCACCACCACCCCCACCACCCCCACCACCACCCCCACCACCCCCACCACCACCCCCACCACCACCACCCCACCCGCCGTCGCCTCGCTCTGAACGCGCGGTGGGTGCCAAGGAGCGCTGCCGCCACGCGCGACAGCGCTGGACCCGTCACGCGATCTCAACTCCGCTCCGCTCATTAATTTGCATAAGCGCCGCCGCGTTCCATAATTGGAATAATGAGCCGGCTATCGAGCGCCGTTCCTCAAAAACGGCGCATTTCCACCCGCTGGAATATGCAAACGAGCCTGGTGGGGTGGCGGGAGCTCTAGCCCACAATGTGGAAGACGCTGGGAGTGTCCTCCTGCTCACGAATGCTTCCCATTGGTGATTATTGCTCAGGTTACAGAGAGGGTCCACCAAGTCCACCCACTTTGTCACGTATCAGAGAAATTGTCGGTAAAGACGCAGCCCTGGAACTGCTTGCTCACGCCCCTGCTGGCAGAAGGGCCTCGGGAGAGCCTTAGAGAGCCCCTCTCGGGAGGGCATATTGAACATCTTCCATGCAGGCCCATTCGTATTGTAGAATGTGGCAGTACCCACACTGAACCCCACCATACAAGGCCTACCGATGGACTGGCAGCGGTCTGCACCCACCAATACTGCCAAGCGGAAAGAGTCGGTGGGCGTTGGGAAACAAACGACAATTGCCCCGATGTTTCATGGTGTGGGTGTCTCTTAGCCACATCAAGACATGTTGCACCACACATTATAATTATTATCATTGAGCTTCAATGTGGAGAATAGAAGCAGCAACATAAATACCGAAAGACATAACGCCTCCCGCCCTTGTTTGTCTCTCCACGCGAACAAAATCGTTTTCTTACAAATCCCATCGGCCACACGGACTCACGAGAGGGCATCCCTTCGGCAGTCGCGGTGGTGAAACTCTCAAGCAAACTGCGAAGCGGGTTCGGCATTCAGTGCCTCATCTGAACAATGCTGGGGGGGGGGGGGGGGGCGGGCAACCTCGCCGCCCACGGGGGCCGCATCTCGCGCTGCTGATGGCGCTCGCCAATGAATGTGGAAAAATTTTGATTTTTGTGAAGGGCTGTGAGAACCAATGGTGATGCCGACCCCCCCCCCCCTCATCCCACCACCCCCCTCATTTCATCACCCCCCTCCTCATCCCACCACCCCCCTCACACCCCCTCCCTATTTAAGCTGATTCATGAGATGAAATTGTCAATCTGGCAGCAAACATCCTTCATTTCCAGCAGCGCGGAGGCGCTGGCGGTCAACCTCTCGTCAGGGCCAATGCCTCCCGACGCCGTCTCAGAGTTGACGGCCACTTGAAGAATCGCTCGGCTTCCTGGACGTTTTGAAGGAGCAATTAAACACACCGCGATCGGTAAGTCGCTCTCTTTCTTTGTTTTTTATCGCACGGGTGCCAAAGCTTGTCGCGGTTGTGCTGCTGTGCAGCTCCACCGATTTGGTTTTCCGGGTTTACCGCGTCCTATTTGGCACGACGGCTCGGAGCTTCAATTCAGAAGCACGTGGAACGAATCGTCGGACATCGTGCGAACAACACGCGGTACAACCCCAGAGCACCACGTCGGAGAGAGCGAGGGGTTTTCTGACGTTGCTCATACGGGGCCAGAGTTCCAGTGACCGTGTCCTGCTCAACTCACAACCTGGGCTCATGTTTGGGATCAATCAGCAAGAACGCTCCGTGGATCTTTACGAATGAGATTTGCTCACGGAATGTCAAATTTGCCCAGAAAACCGTGTAAGCGGTATTGTGTTTGCGCTGTTGGGGGGGGGGGGGGGGGGGGTTGCTCCTTTTCTTCTGCTGCCCTCAATGTCTGGAACTCTCTCACACCCCCCACGCCACCGGCCGTCTATGCCCTAGACACACCGAGCACAACTCTCAACTCAGTACAAGATCAAGATGATACCATCTTCGAGATCTTCCATGGACTCCCTCCTGCCTACCTCTCATATCATCTCGCTCCACTCCCCTCCACGCACTCTCCTACCTTTAATCTCGCTCCACTCACCTCCACGCACTCTCCTCTACCTTTAATCTCGCTCCACTCCCCTCCACGCACTCTCCTAACTCTTCTCCCCTCTCATCTCACTCCACTCCCACCCCCATGCAAGGCTTTCTGTGGATGCCCCCGCTCAACCTTCGCTCAGCGGGAGGTCACTCATTCTTCTCTGCTGCCCCCATTGTCTGGAATTCCCTTCCCCCTGCCGTCCGTGCCGTTGACCCCCTGCCCCAGTTGAAGTCCTCCAGGCACCTTCTTCTTTGACTGACTGCCTCTCCTCTTAAAATAGAAGCGATCGTGTCCAAACGCACCCACACACCTCATCTTCCCCATCAGCTGCACGTGCTAAAGCTACGTGTGGATGTTGAACTTCTTTCGAACCGTACGTAGCTCGCCGTGCTCATCGTAGGTGCGTAACAGAGCCTTAAGATGCAGTCGCATTGCAAGTCTCGCTCTATGAATCCCAATTGTAGTTTGTAATTGAGAATAGCACGAAGCTCGGGACACATGGGCACGCGTGACGCGAGGAATGACGCTACATTTGTCCCGGGAGGTCTGAAGTTCAGGGAATGGTCGCCCAAATTTCCCCCCAAAATCCGACTTTCTGCAGCGTGTCGCGATGCTGCTGTGGATGAGCACAGCGTCAGTGCGACACGCGCACCACGGATTCGGGGCAGCCAGCCAACGTGACGGTCTCTCAGTGGCCAAGATGAAGACGTCACAGTTGCCAAAGCTGCTGATGCCACCATAGACAAAGATTCCCCATGTAGCCTTGGACAGACTGTGAGGGCAAGTGCTTTTAGCGAGCGCCTATAAAGGCCAGAACGGCACGTGAGAGGAGGTGGGTGGCAAACACTGCACCCGGCCGCCTTTGTCTTCCCAGTGGTGATGTATACACACCACACCATATATGTTTCTGACACAGAAACACAGCAACACAGACACACAGACACGCAGACACACTGACACACAGACACGCAGATACACAGACACTCAGAAACACAGCAACACAGACACACAGACACACTGACACACAGACAGGCAGACACATAGACACACATAAATACAGACACGTGTGCCGCGGTGGCGAGATGTGAACTACTTCGCCTGCTGTGCAGGAGATTGTGGGTTCGATCCCGACCCTGACTCCTGTATATTTGGAGTTCTCACCGTAGTCGCGTAGATTTTTCTCCGAACCCTCTGGGTTTCCCCTCCACATTTAGAAACAACACGCGTTTAGAGCATTTAACGGCTTTAAATGTCCACGTGATGAGCTACTTCCTTATCATCAGACAAGGCCCACTGAGCTTCATAGCTCTGTTTAAGACGTGACCTGTCTATCACACATGTCAGCTAAACGAAGTGGCTTGTCACGTGGCAGTTTATAGCAGAAGCCAAATACTCTGACCGCGCGATTCTAAATGTCGAGGGAAAAATCCACGTGACCACGGGGAAATAGACACGCAAACTCGAAATATACAGCAGCAGGCGTCAGGGTCGGGGTCGAACCCAAGTCCTCCTGTATACCTGGCGAGGGAGTCAACATCTCACAGCCACCGCGGCACCATCACGATGTTGTATATCGTGGCACGATGTCACATCAGCGATACTCGTAGGGTCAGTTTTGTGACAATATCGACGTTCCAAATGTTTTATTTGCTGCTTTTGCTAATTCTGTCCTCGTATGTGTGGATACATTCCGTGTTCTCCTCCCGTGTGTAGACACTGAGACGTAGTCAACTAACACAATGCCGTTATGGATTAAAAAAAATATATTTGGGGACGTAACTGCATCGCCAAATATCTGTCATAAGACAAAGGCCCCCCGTGTAGCCTTTAGTAGACGGTTGGTGGAGGCGTGGGAAAGACCGCGCCCGGCCGCCTTTGTCTCCCCAATGCACTGCGGGACACGGGGGAAGAGTCGCAATCACGACGAGTTCGTTCCCAGAGCTGCAGAGACACCACGAGCTGTAGACACAGCAGAGACACAGCAGAGACACCACGAGCTGTAGACACAGCAGAGACACAGCAGAGACACCACGAGTGCCGGCCTGCTCAGGGGCTTGCTATTCGCTGGCGTGACTCGCGCCTACAGCTCGTTAAGGCGACACGGTGGGGAGACTGCGTCTTGGTGTATCCAGGAGGTGGACGGATCGTAGCACGGCGACACCGCGAGAGAGAGAGAGGCGACGGCTTGGGAAGGGGGGGGGGGGGTCATTCAGCAGTGGATAGACCACGACCGATGTCGTGATGTGTTCAGATCACCCTTTGAGTTTGCTGTTGTATGAACGTTGACCTTCTTTCGCACCGTACCTAGCCACCCGTGCTAAATGTAACGTGAACGGGAGCGGTTTGTTCTCGAGACGGAGCTGAACGACAACTCCCCTGGGGGGAGACGCGAAGCGTCGCCAGGCCGCGGCCCCCCAACCTCGGGGCCGGGCGCACCACGGAGACGCGGCCGCACCGCGAGCCGCAGCAGACGGCGCAGCCTCCCAGCATCGTCGTCGTCATCATCAGCAACGTCGTCATCATCGTCGTCATCGTCATCATCATTTCCGTCGTCATCATCATCGTCATTGTCATCATCATCGTCGTCATCTTCGTCGTCATCATCGTCGTCATTGTCATCATCGCCGTCATCTTCGTCGTCATCATCAGCAACGTCGTCATCATCGTCATCATCATTTCCGTCGTCATCATCATCGTCATTGTCATCATCATCGTCGTCGTCGTCATCGTCATCATCGTCGTCATCTTCGTCGTCATCATCGTCGTCATTGTCATCATCGTTGTCGTTGTCATCGTCGTCATCATTGTCGTCGTCATTGTCATCATCATCGTCGTCATCATCATCATCGTCATCATCATCGTCGTCGTCGTCATCATCATCATCGTCGTCATCATCATCTTCGTCGTCATCATGATCGCAACGTTGTCTCGTCACATCCATTGTCCATTACACACAACGGCCCTTCTTCATAGTAGAGAATATAAATCAAAGGGCCATTGCACGGAAAGTAAGCCATGTGGGCCATCGCTCGACACGTCACCTATCGTACACGTTTGTTTATTGTAAAGCCGCACACACAGCGTGGTTGTGAGTTTAACGCGTAGGCTTTCGCTACCATTATCATCCACAATACAGGTGTTTTTTTACGAGTGTGGTTGTTGTTGACACGTGTTGAGTTGTTGTTGATTGTGCTGTTTGTGCACCACTGCCAATAGTAGCATCACCTGATGATTCGTCTCAAACTCATGCGTGCGGGTAAACATTTAGGACCTGTGCTTTGACACGGGTTACAGATTACGGGGCCTGCACACCTCATCCACAAACGCAGGTCCCGGTGCTGTGTGTTTGTTGCGTGTCGCTGATGTACGTTGCTGATGTACGCCGCTGTTCCAGCAGTTCCACCATCCACACACGAGGAGCTGCAGACGGCAGGAGGACCACCCTGGAGGTGCTTGGACACCTCCATCCGTCGCCATGGCAGCTCACAGGCTGATGCTGCTGGGTCTGCTGCTCTCCTACCCACCTCTCTACCACCAGGCGAGGAGGGACCTCACCACCACCAGCGATGACCACCACCACCGCCAGCAGCAGCAGCAGCAGCAGCCCCACGTCTTCTCGCGCAAGGAGGCTGGAGGTGCAGGTCACGGCCGGGCAGGCCTGCCGGCCAAGGGGGCGTTCCGCAGCCGGGGCAGGCACCTGTGCCAGTGGAAGGCGACCGGCGGCGGCGGAGGGGGCGGCGGCGGCGGCGAGGTGACCGTGCGGGTGGTCTGCGCCGCACGGCAGCAGCGCCGCTCCTACTGGTGCGAGTACCGCGCCAAGCCGTCCCGCTGCGACGCCTACGGGCACAAGGCGGCGCGATACTGGAAGCAGGTCATCCGGCGGCTCAAGCACAAGGCGAACGCGTGCGAGGGCCGCAAGATGCTCAAGGCCGGCGTGTGCCGGCACGCGCCCAAGAAGGCGCACCTCACGCTCGCCTACCGCAGCCGCAAGCCTCCTCAGCGCGGAAACCACCGACCGCCTCCTCCTGCTCCTCCTGCTGCTCCTCAAGGTGCGGGGCGCGCTCTTCCAGGAGCTCCAGGGCGTCCTCCAGCGCCTCCTCTTCATCCTCCTCATCCTCCTCATCCTCACTCGGTAGCTGTGAACAGCGCAGAGGCACACACGTCGCCGGGCAGGAAGACCGCGTCTGCTGCTGCCAACAGAAATCCACTCGGAGGAGGAGATGGTGGTGGTGGTGGAGTTGGTGGTGGAGTTGGTGGTGGAGTTGGTGGTGGTGGAGGTGGAGTTGGCCCGCACCGCGTGAAGGTAGCTCACAAGGCCGGACTGGGGCCCGTGCAGAACGCGGCCACGGGCGTGAAGCCGCAGGCGGCCAAGGCGGAGCGCGACTTGCTGGTGGACAAGGCGGGGGAGGAGGAGGCCAAGGAGCAGTGGAGTGCAGAGCAGGTGGCCGAGGAGTATTGCGCTGAGGGATGGACGTCGCTCTGCTCGTTTCTGGTCGGGGCCTGGCAGGGTTGAGGAGGAGGAGGAGGGGGGAGGTGGTGGTGGAGCTGGTGGTGGAGCTGGTGGAGGTGGTGGTGGAGCTGGTGGAGGTGGTGGTGGTGGAGGTGGTGGTGGAGCTGGTGGTGGTGGTGGAGGTGGTGGTGGTGATGGTGGAGGGGGTGGTGGAGGTGGTGGAGGTGGTGGTGGGAGCCCCGGGGAGAACAGTGGAGGAGGTAGAGGGAGCCATGGAGGACGTGGTCTCAAAGTCCAGGATTCACACGAGGGGAGAGGAGGGGGAGGCGCGATGGCAACTGTCGAGCACACATCGCACACATCACACACATCGCACACATCATACACATCGCACACATCACACACATCACACACATCACACACATCATACACATCGCACACATCACACACATCACACACATCGCACACATCATACACATCGCACACATCACACACATCGCACACATCACACACATCGCACACTTCGTCGTCGTGGTCAATCCACTGCTGGATGAAGGCCTCCCCAAGCCACCGCCACCTCTCGCGACGACTGCGATGTCGAGTCCGCCAAGCGCCGCGTGCTGCACACCGACTGGCCACAGCGCTCCGTCTCCTGGGTGGCTCCCAATGCAAGTTGGTGAACACGCAATGCCTCGTCCAGCCACCCCATTGAAACCCCTCATCACCGAGCACCCAGTGAACATGTCGGCGTTGGCATGCGGCGGTAACCTTTGGATCAACGGTGACCCAACGTCAAGCTACCGTCCCATGTTTACTGGGGTAAAAGCAAAGCGCAGTAGGCAGTCTACAACCGCACGCATGCGGCCAGTCCGGTACAGGGGGCCTCGGCACTCTCACGCCGACTGATGGAGCTGCCCACGCCCCAGTCGGTCTCCATGCACAGCGTCACTCAGTTCTATAATCCACCCTCCTCCTCCTGCACGCACAGGAAGAACAACAAGAGATACAGCACCCGGACAACCACATCCAGTATACCTCTCACTTCGCCTGCGGAGCTACAGAGAGTCGGCGCCACCTTTGCACAGCCGATCAGGCAGCTGGACGCAGACTGAGCGGGACACGAAGCACCCCGAAGACACCTCCTGGATTACAGAAAGGACGCAGTGCAGCTGTCTCGTTGGGGTTGAACAACTCAAGCGAGCCGATACACGCGCGAACCTCAGTACCGGGACTGTGTAAAAACACGCGCACAGATCTCTTGGACTCTCCAAGCGGCATACACGCGGCGCACGCACTCGACTGCTCCCCTGTTCCCCGGATCATAAGGCGCTCCAGAAAGCGAAGAATCACCCCAAACGTGTGCCCGGTGTCAATAAAGTTGGGGCAAGTGCTGTTAGTGGGTAGCACCTATGAAGGCGGGTACGGCGCTTGAGGGGGTGGGTGGCCAGCACCACGCCCGGCCGCCTTTGTCTCCCCATTATGTTTGCACACAATCCGGAGAATACGGTCGATGTGTTTGTGTAATTGCTTGCAATGTCGTCTTTGTCAGATGCACTTATTAATTTCTCAGCAATGTGCCCGACTGAAGGCCAGTTCGCACTCACACTCTCACTTTGTAAGCCGCCTTGACACTTGCGAGTACAGTCATCGTTTTGACCAGCCCGGCTTCTATCGTCACACTGGAAGAGAGGCGAATTTCTCAGTTCACTGCGATCCACGGGGGGGGGGGGGGGGGGGGGGGGAGTTGAGAGCGCTCAGCGCGAGTCGTGGAGCTGCGTGGAGCCTCCGGCTGATCGGCAATGGGGCTGCCGAACTTGGGGAGCCGAATTGGAAAATGTGGAGATGATCTGATGATCAATAATTGGACAATGTGGAGATGATCTGATGATCAATAATTGGACAATGTGGAGATTATTTGATGATCAATAATTGGACAATGTGGAGATTATTTGATGATCAATAATTGGACAATGGGGAGATTATTTGATGATCAATAATTGGACAATGGGGAGATTATTTGATGATCAATAATTGGACAATGTGGAGATTATTTGATGATCAATAATTGGACAATGTGGAGATTATTTGATGATCAATAATTTAACAATGTGGAGATTATCTGATGGTCACTAATTTGACAATGTGGAGATTATTTGATGATCAATAATTTAACAATGTGGAGATTATCTGATGGTCACTAATTTGACAATGTGGAGATTATTTGATGATCAATAATTTAACAATGTGGATATTATCTGATGATCAATAACTCGGACAATGTGGAGATTAATTGATGATCAATAATTGGATAATGTGGAGATGATCTGATGATCAATAATTGGACAATGTGGAGATTATTTTATGATCAATAATTGAATAATGTGGAGATTATTTGATGATCAATAATTAATAATTGGATAATGTGGAGATTATTTGATGATCACTAATTGTACAATGTGGAGATTATCTGATGATCACTAATTGGACACAAATGTAAGATGGACACAACAGCGCTGTCGTTTACACTATGGGAACCTCATTTGCCAGTAAAAATATGATAATTGGTTCTTTACCCTTCTATCTGGCAACAAAACTGACACCTTTTTACAAGGAGTCATGTTTGCATAGACCGCAATACCTGCAGTCATAATACAAACAAAAGAACATAACTCTGATAGGACAGTGCACATTATCAGAGTTATGTTCTTTTGTTTGTATTATGACTGCAGGTATTGCGGTCTATGCAAACATGACTCCTTGTAAAAAGGTGTCAGTTTTGTTGCCAGATAGAAGGGTAAAGAACCAATTATCAGCGCTGTCGTTGTTCGGGAAAGTTGAAGGAACTAGAAGGAGAGGAAGACCTCACAGGGAATGGCTTCACGCTCACGTAAGAGACTGGTGTTCCACAAAGACGCGGCACTGCTTGCGCAGATTGGCACAAGGCAGAGGAAAGTGGAAACAATGACGACATGTGCAGTGGACACCGACGGGCTATCTGCCCATGGATCGTGATGATAATCGCTCTACGAACATTGTGTCACATTCTACCTTTCTAGACCTTTTAGAACGTATGATCATGTCTATGTATGTTAGATAATCATGGTGTGTGTGTGTACAATTATAATAATTATAGCACTTCCGTCAATCTGTTGGATGAATGCCTCCCCACGAAGTGTCAGTCGTGGGGGGAAGGGGGGTTGTTTGACCATACTTCACCACACTGGTCAGTGCGGTTTGGCGAAGGCGGGAACCGTAGAAGTGTACTACGATACATGTTGGTGCACCACCCTCTCCCGAGTATCCGGCCCTGTAGTCCTGTAAGCCCCATAACTGGAGGTGGCCCGTGCAAGCGCTGTGATACTATTAGGTCACGAGTCGCGTGATATGAAGTCGCGGACTCACATGAAGTCGTACGTTTAGGAAGTTGTGGGCAGTGTGAAGTCAAGTCATGGGTTGTGTAAAGTGGTGGGCTCTGTGACGTTAAGTGCGTGAAGTATACAGGACTTCATATTCTTTGGGTCTTTCGGTAAAGTCACGTAGATAGGTTCAAAGGAAATAACAAAAAACTACGTTTCCATCGCAACACAAGCGGTCGTCATCAAGAGAAGGGGGTTAGCTTCTAAAGGAAACCCGTTTATAAAGGTTTGAAATGAGCGTAGCACAAATGTCAGCAGCCAATGTTATGTAATTGGTGGGCAGTAACCACAACGGTGGTGGGTTTTCCACCAATTAAAGGGCTGCCAGGTGAAAATTAGCATGTTAACGTAAGATCGGTGAGCGGCCTCCATGACGAGCGTGCTGAGGTGGCGATGTTAACGTGAGAGATGAGCATGTTAATGTGAGAGATTAACATGTTAATGTGAGAGATTAGCATGTTAATGTGAGAGATGAGCATGTTAATGTGAGAGATTAACATGTTAACGTGAGAGATGAGCATGTTAATGTGAGAGATTAACTTGTTAATGTGAGAGATTAGCATGTTAATGTGAGAGATGAGCATGTTAATGTGAGAGATTAACATGTTAATGTGAGAGATGAGCATGTTCATGGTAGATTGCAGAGCCGCAACCCCGAGGTCTGCGCGCGAAGTGGCTGTGTTAGTGTGAACCTGTTAATGAACAACTAACATCGGAAGGTGGTAGGAGGGGAACGTCACAGCCAGTTATGTCTTAAACTGGTTGATAACGTCCTTGCAATGATTGCTCAGTTTGTAGCCATCTTCTCGGTTGAAATTGTGTCTGTATATCTGGATGGCTTCATGAACGAATCTTTGTTGATAGCTAGTGGGTTTGCAAAGTATCTTCGTCTTAGAGAAATCAAATTCGTGTGAGCCCACAGCGTTAAAACAATGATCAGCCATGGCCGAGGTATTGGTCCTACCGTGTTTCAGATCTGCCCTGTGTTCCCGAACACGGTCCGAGACATGTCGCTTAGGGCTGTAATATGAAGTGGTGGGTTATTTTAAATGAAGTCGCGGGCCGTGTGAAGTGTTGAAGTCACGTGGTGGATATGGCCCGCTCGCTGTAGCTTCATTCTCCTTGCTGTGCCCAGCATTTGGGCTGAACTCGTTATACCACAGAGAAAGCGCCGCCTTCGTGGCCCCGTTGCAGATGCGAACCCATGGCGAGGGGCACGCAGGGGCAGGCTGGTGCCCACCGCTCGCCTGACTTGCAAAGTCCCGAGCGAGTTCGTCCTGGATGTGTGTGCCGGAGCGGCGTGCGTGGAGTCTAATTGCCGTGATGTAGTCAAGATGTTTTTTTTCGTATTTCTTTTTCTCCCCACGAAATAAGCACAACTTTTGAAAACTAATAAAGGCAAATATTGTAGCAATGCACGTTGCCAACGCGTTTTACCTGTTGCCTGTCTCGAAGTCTAGTTGCATCCGTCTGGGTACTTGATAACTACGACATTGATCATCACCACCACCACCATCGTAATCACCATCACCATGATCATCACCGTCATCATCACCACCGTATTCACCATCAATATCTCCATCATCACCACCGTATTCACCATCAATATCACCATCATCATCGTAATGATTATCACCATCACCGTCATCACCATCATAATCATCATCACCACCACCGTAATCACCATCATTATCACCACCATCATTATCACCGTAATCACCATCATT